TAGTGGCGACTAACAACTGACTCGTCAACGGCTCTTTGTTTCCAACTCGTATCAAGTTCGGGAGTCGGCGGTTCACCGGCTTCGAGAAGGTTCAGAAGGTTAGGGCTGTTGGTGAAATCCACCAATGTGTAGGTCACTCCCGTGGCGATCGACAAGATTGGGTACGATGCCTTCATCTTCTTCACATCCTCGACATTAGAGAGGCTTGGCTGTATTGCCAGTATCTCATCTTTTCTTGTTTCTCGACCGTGGATGTGGACGTTGTGCGGCATCAGAAGAACGCCAACCTGACGTAGTGGATCATATTCGGCGCGGAAGACCAGCTCATTGTACTGGATAAAGCATTCCAAAAAGGCAGCTGATGCGGATTTCTCTGCTTCTGTGCCCCCACGCGGAGCAGGTACTGGTGTTGTCGAGTCAAGAGGGTTCTCCTGAAATATGTATAACGCAACACCTAGGATAGCCTCAAAGGCCAAAGGCTTATGCGCTTTGGTCGCACCAAACAGTTCCAATTTCCGAACATTCTTGCCAATTTTCTCCAGGTACACTGGTTCGTGTAAGAATGCGGTATTATTATATCCGAATTCTATGGCAATCTGCATCTTCCGCTCCTGTGAGAGGGGATCATCCTTCTTCAGCCGCACCACCGCAAGTGGGCTTCCATCATATCTGCCATGAACAAGAGATGAAAAGCGTTAGACATCTAGAGATAGCAATAAAAAAACGCAGTGTAATATGGGCTTGCAGCAGGAGAAATGGGTGTTGTTGAGTGTTTTATTGATTCGACAGAGATCTACCCTCATCTCCGGATCCAAAAAGCCGGTTCTTCGTATCCAGTTGAGAGATGGGGTTGAAAAAAAAATGCGAAGCTATCGAGGTAATATCAACCTTTCTGATGTGAACACATCAAGGGTCACTAAGATTTGGACATGTCAGTGATGAACTGCATATGTAGCTCGATATTTGGTCAACCAAATAATGACGAAGAGGAGAGAGGACAGGGAAAAAAGAAACGAGAGTTATCCCGTATTATTGCCAGAGTGTGAATGGCCGGATGAACTGCACTGGGATGCGGTGGCTTGTCCTTGGACCTACCAAAACTACGAGGTCCAGCCTCCATTTCCACGAGCGGGCGCCTTTTCCGATGCAGGTCTTCCAGTCGCCCTCTTCTCTGTAGGTACTCCGTACAGAGCAGCTATCCCAATGCCACAACTATACCTGGTGTCTTTGGATCTCCTGCGGGATGAAGATCACGTCTCGTCCTCGAAGGGTTTTTCCTCCTTCGCTTTCTGCAAAGGCCGAAGAAAAAGACAAGTCACGGGAAGTCCGAAAGTGGGTAAAGTCACGTGATAGATTCTTCATGTGCAAATGACGATTACCTAATAATAAGAATAACAAACAGCGAGTCTGGACGCTGCACGTTGACATTACGCCGGCGTATAGAAGAAGTACGGGCCTACAAAAGGAAGGTATTTCATGTATACGGGGAAATGGACGAGATCCAGCCATGAACATGGATATACTCCGTACTCCGTACACTATTCGATAATGCCATACTCCGTATCCCGGACGAGAGCTGGCTGTGGCCGTGGGACGAGCTTCTCTGCATTCTCTGGAAGCGGTGGCTTGTCTCGACATGACACTACTGGTGATGTGCAGCTTCAGCTCGTCAACTCGCTAGCCAGCTTGATACTGGCTTGTCCACGCTGTCTGGCTGATCAAGCGTGAACGGAGCCGTCATCATCCTTCGCGTATAATCTTATGCAATTCGACTGATAGGCTCTTGGTCGCTTACTTCTCACCAGCGAGGACGAATCGAACAGGGAAGAGCCTTTTGCTTTAATTTCATCTTACCAGCTAACTATCTGAGCACCCTCCCATGGGACAGCCGGAAGTAGTCAAAGACGCTATTGAAAAAGGCAGTCAGAGAACGTGAACATAAACGTGATCGCCACACAGGAGGGAGAGAAGGGGGGATGGGGGGGTCGGACAATAGCAGCCAGCTTTTATATGCTTTCAAGTCGGGGTGCAGGAACTTGGATGGGCGTGTGGACTCCTTTTTTTTTTAGGGAGATCGCTTTCTCACAAACAAAACACACTCACACACACACATCTTAGTTCCGCCCAGCCAGCCCACATTCCCTGCCTGCGTGGGTGTGGATTATGGCTGTGTGGATGTGGATGTGTGGATGATTTCTGGGAGCCCCCCCTTGCCTTGCTTGCGTATTCCAGGATGGTGATTGAAAGTAATAGGAGGAGAAGATGCTATCTCTTCTCGAAAGAGAAAGGCATTCCCACTCTTGGATCTCCCGATCAGTCGATTGACGTTTGATGCCCGGAGCATGAGATCCGTTTGAGGCCTCTCCATAAGGGCATTCGTGCCGTTCATTCGCCAGTTGGCCGTCACTGATCGTCTTCGCTCGGGTTGATCAGGCGGGGATGGCTGGTGTCTTATCCTTTCCACGGCGTGCCGTGGAGGTGTTCTAGCGTGAAGCCGAGACGCTGAGCTTGCCCGATGTTGATTAGCCGTTTGATCAAATACTACATCGAGCTCTGTGCGTTCAAACCCAAAGGCCGTTTTTCGCTTACACCTCGAGAGCGAGGACATGGGTCTGAATGTGAGAAACCGTTGGCGAAAGAGGCTAAAAATCTAGACTCCAGTCAAGGAGTTGAAGCAGAAAGGGAGAGACAATGGTGGAAGCCATTCGACCAGGGTTCGTTACGCCTACGGGCTCCTTGTCTTTCACTCCCTTTCTTTCCCCCTTCTCTTCCAACTGGCAGGACGGAGTAGATATAAGCATATAAGGAGCATGGCCGGGTGCAGCATGCTGCATAACCGTCTAAGCGACCTGTAAAATGTTATAAATATGCCTTCAGTCTCGGCCTGTTGTCTGTATTATTGCCATTATTGAGAGGGATGGGCTGAAGAAGCGTGTTTAAGGCGGTTGGTCAACACTAAATCAAGCCGCCACGGAGGCTGTGGAGATGGCGATGATGGCCTGTCACAAATCTGATCTGGCACATTTTTGGTTTTTTTTTTTTTTTTTTTTTTTTTTTTTTTTTTTTTTTTTTTTTTTTTTTTTTTGGCCCATATCTTGTTTTTCCTTCTTCAGCTAAAGTTCAGAGCCCACGCTTCTTTTCTGGCCTCCTGCTGCTGTGATTCGCAATCGACTCTTTTGCCCGCCTTGCTTTTCTCTGCTCGACTCTTTTCTTGGGACCCGTTGTACCGTATTATTGGGCGCGGAGCTTTACAATCCCGTTCCCATGGCCAAAACAAAATAAGACGAGGGCAAAAGAGAAAAAAAAAAAAAATAAATAAATAAAAAATAAAGAATGAATAAAAAAAAAAACTGAGAGCTCATCTTTCTTAACGGGGGGCTTGAGCAGAAAGTATAACGACGGTCTCGTTCGTATCTTGAGAATCGCCTTTGTTATGAGGTGGAGGAGGAGCCTGTCGACCTGCAACTAGGAAGTGACCCTTGCCTGTCAGGCTACAGGAAAGCCCTGGCTGATGTGACTGGCCATAACGGAATATAATTGAAGTCCACGGATACTCCGTACGCATCTGATATGAGAACCCTCCTCTCTCGCAGGCTATATCGGACTACCCGCAAGATGCAGACGCCAAGACGGACAACAGGATCGAGCGTACCATTAGTCCATACTTATGCCCACTGACGGCTTCTCGCTGTGGTGACTGGTTGGGTACGAGGCGCTGTTTGCCAGGTGCTGTGGGCTCTGGTGTAATTCTCGAAATGGCTGTTTGTATTCTTTTCGCACCCGTAGCCTCACGGGCAAAAGTGAAGCCACAGCAGCCCATCGGGCTAATTTGATCAAAGGGAAGGAAAAAGTATCCTTCCTTCCGACGAACCACTGTTGTACCGAATTGCGGGCGGACAACTGTGTGCAGCAGAGACGCGGTTGACCTGCAGGTCAGGGATGTTACTTTGTACGCATACTTCCAGGGGTAAGTCGCTCATAAGGGCAAAAGAGAGGCCCATAATATCGTGAAAAATTGAGATTTTCCCAACTTTAATGATGGTATATTTCGCTCGGTACAGACGGGCGAGGATCCCTGAACCGCCGATGGAGGTTTAAAAAGACGGTTAAAATATATCTATCTGAGTATAGACCAAGTCCTGAAATTTCCAAGGATAGCTTTATCTGATATCGTATACGTATTTCGTAGAAGTCGACAGCATGGTGTTAATATAACATCCCTCCAAGGGTTCGGGGTCGACCATTTAAGCATGTAAGGAGGTCAATAATGGAGCGGAAAGGAAAAGAAGGGGCCCTCAGGATGCAAATGAAAAAAACAACTGACCAACTGCAAAAATCGCACTGGGCCGGCCACGGAGACTGGGATAGATGCATAGTGACTGCATAAAGCAGAAAAGGAAAGTAACCTTTTCCAACAGGTCTCACGTCCTACATCGTAGTTACATAAAGTAGTGCAGACGAGGCGAGAGTACTTACGTACCTGTAAAAGGAAAAAAAAAAAAAAAAAAAAAAAAAAAAAAAAAAAAAAAAAAAAAAAAAAAAAAAAGAGGATACATCCTCCAACCCACATACAGAGGGCGAAGGAGGAGGGCGAGTTCCTGCATGTTGAAAGTCTTCACTCCCCTTTTCTGAGGAAGCCCTTCGTAACTACTCCGTACTCCGTATTTTGTCTCCATCCGCAGGCAAAAAAGATGATGTGCGCTCTCAGCATTTCATCGGCGTTCTTGAAGGCAGATGGTTCCCCCAGGATGTTTCGACTAACGAGCCAGCCCGTTGGGAAAGCTAAGTTTGTTATCGAAAAATAATAAGGGAGGATCCGATCTATATAGTTAAGTACGGAGTAAAGTGTGGCGCCCTGGGGTTTCGTGGTCTCCACGTACCCTTTCGTCCTGCAGGTAAAAGAAAAATAATATATATCTTACAGCGCTTGTTAATTAGCAGTGGATCTAGATGTCTCGGGGGGTGGGACAGTGAATGTGACGACTCGATCTCATAGTAGTTTACTCGCCTTTTATCTTGCCTGTCGTCTCCCTTCTGCCGTCGTGATTTTCTGTCTCCTTCTCTTTTTTCTCCTCTCCTCCGCTCTGCTCTTCCGCGTCATTGATGTCCAGGGAAGCAAGAAGAAAAGAAAAAGAGAAGGACATTTAGAGGAGTCGCTGGTTTGACTATTGATTTTTCATTTCCCTTTTTCTCTTTCTGGTTGCTTTCGTTCTCTTCGTATATCTCGAGCCGGATTCATCTCGTCGTCTTCCTTGTTAGCAGTTGATATCGGCCTGGATCGGGTCGTCCGCTGACCTTTTTCGTCATTTCTTTTTCATACATACCTCTACTATTGACCATTTCCCCTCGCTGTCTTCCAAGCTTCGGTCAGCCTTCGTCTTCCTGGTTCTTGGTTCGTGTGGGTTGCGGCGCTGCTGTTGTTGTTGGATGGAGTAAGAGGATGACTGGTTTAGAGCGAGCACAAGCGAACCAAGTAAACAAATAACCACCACCAACCTCCGAAAAAAGAAAAACAACTTCCTGTCAACACGCACAGCACCACATACATACATCCAGACAAGACAGAGGCACAGGAGACAAGAGACAGCGCGCGCCTGTCTGCTGTTGACAAACGCCAGAAACAAGCCATCTCTTTCACGGCAGCAGGGAGATCAACCCGGTTCACGCTCTCGTTTTTAACCCGGCTCGCGTGGCTCCTTATTTACTTCCTCTCTCTTCCTCTCCCCCTCCCCCCTCTCTCTATCTCTCTCTACTGGCAAAGGACTTCCGACTTCAAATAATTATACCTCTCTACAAGCTGTATGTACGTCATGAACAGCCAAAACTCGAGCTCTGCCCCCAGCGGCAGCGAGGGTGCTGCTCTGCCGTGGATACTGGAGCACCTTCTGGCATATCCCGGGAGCTACGAGATCCCTCTACGCACCATGTACACGCTCAACTCTTCACCCCGAATGACGGACCTATCCAGCGTGTCTCCCACCTTGAATGGCTCTGCTTTTTCGAAGGCTAGCACAGCTCCATCTCCAACCGGTTCTGCACCCTCTTCGCGTCATGAGAAACACGGATCTGCCGACTCTTCCATGTCAGATACCGCTGCTCGATTCAAAGCCCAGATGATGGCCCAGATAGCCCAGCTGCCATCACAGCCAGCCTCTCTTCCGCCAAGCTTCATCACCTCTTTCGTTCGACGGTCTTTTCCCCCTGTACTAGAGGAGGTAGATTTTCCACAGGCCTTGACTGCGCTAGACTATCTCCGAGACTTGGAAAACCGCCGCAAGAGAGAAGTTGTTAACGCCTTTGACAGATTGGGCCTTACTGGAACCGAAAGCGAGAGACAGGAGCTCTCCAGACGGTACCCTGGTGTCTTGGCCTGGCTTAACAAAATCCAAGAAAACGAGAGAAACGTCATTGCCCTCTACACTCAAGTGTACCTCCGCATCCGATATTGGGTATGTATTAGCTGATATGCATTTTCATTATTATTGGTTGTTATATTTTTTCTTTATCACACTGCTAACAAGGTACAGGCGCTAGTGAACGAGATGCTTCTTACTCCGTTTAACAGATACAATTGCATTGCCTTGTTGAACACTCTATTTCCTCCACTGGATTCCAGACCACCAACCCCACATCTCAATGGGAAGCTACTGCTAGATCATCGAATGCGATTCTATGACTATATCTGCTCCTTTGAGAAAAAGGGTGTGCAGGTATTAAAACATGTCATTGAACAAGACAAACGACCAGAGGATAAGACTGGTTGGCCAGTTGCTAGATGCATGATTGATAAGTACCTTGACTTGGCTAACAGCATGATTAACGAATGCTCCGAAGTCACCGGTTGCCAACACTTTGCAGAATCCTCTGAGGGACAGCGCAAAGGACGAAAAGTCGACTCCGGAATTAGCTTCACCTCTTCTGAACGCCCCTCGACAAGTGGAAGCTCCTCTAGCAGTTCTAAAAACCTTACAAAGCCCTCCACACCACCAGCTCAAAGCCAGCAGCTCAAGGGCACAAATGGATCTACTCTAGAAAAAATCGCTCGGGAAATCAAGAAACTAAAATCTCGCGGCGATCTAAGAGATGCAGCCAAGGAACCTAAACGACCAAACACCGTCAAGAAGATCAAGTCGTCTGGCCTCCTAAGGGAAACCATGCGTGGTCTGTCCCTGAGTGACGAGCCTACCTTTGACCCAGACAAGTTCAAGCAACAGAGAAAACAATGGGAGGCAAAAAATGCACACAAGCTCAGACAAGCAGCTGAGTGAAAATGAGGAGAGAGACTACTGCTTCGTACAGCTCTCGGCCCTTTTGAACGAATTTCACGAATTTCTCTACGTGTCATATCTCCGCCACTCATCCTCTTTTTCTTTTTCACCTTCCCGGATAACTTCAACGATACCCCATTCGCATACATAATTTTCCGTGACAACAATGGATCCTTTCCTTTCGTTTCTTTTTTGTTTTCGACCTGGCAGACTTTCAACAGCCGAGATATTCTGCAACCACTGAATTTCGCAAGCCACCAGACTACTATCTGGAACCAGTTTCCTATTCTCCTCTCTCTCTGTCTTCCTCTTTTCCAGATGTCCACCACAACGACTCAGAACGATTCTCTTTATCAGGCCATGAATGAAAGAGGACCGGCTTCTTGCTTTTTGTTTCCATTCTCCTTGTCTTTCACACAAACGGCGCTCGGAGATTACAGGGTTCTTGTGTTTTTTTTAAAAAAATATTTACTACCATCTCTCGCGATTGATTTGACCTGACTTCCTCAACCGACAAATGGTCCAACAATCAAATACCCTCTTCGCTGGCCCACAGGTTAACCAAATTCTCAAATTTCCATTCCCGACCAACAACAATTGTTTGCAGGCAATAGGCCCCTATTGGAGGATTCCATTCTTGTATCTGTTCAGGCTCTGGCTCTCATAGCCTCTGCTGTTTTGCCCCATCTTGAGCTGGATGTTTGGTCACTCCTGTGTGTCTTTCTCTTCTTGCCTTTCTACCACTGGATGTACGCTTGACTCTGACCGACTGTACTCTGTTTACCTTCTCCTGAGCGATCGATCGAAAAAGTGTTACTGTTACTGTTAATCGTTAATCGCTAAAGTCGCTTCATTAGTAATTAATACATCTATGAGGTGCTGCCATACGTATTTGTATTCTAATAATATAATTAATTATTCAATGCTAATTTCTTCATAAATTTATTTACTAGTTATGGATTAACTCGCTGCTTGTTTACGTTGATGTCATCGTTTTGGTCGACCCAATTAGGGTATAAAACACGAAATCTGGCCAGAAGGCTGGAAACATCAGCAACGGCCAACTAATAAAATATCCAACACCAGACAGGCACTGCCAATTCGTCTTGTGAGCCCTGTTAGAAAGGCTTGGTGGCTCTGTGTTTCTTCTAGAATATGCATTTGCAGGAGAAATATAGAATCTGAAGCTTCCAGGCGCCCTACTTCAGCAGTTCCGCCATCTAGGCCCATCCCACCACCTATCACTTGCGCCCACAAGCTGCGGCCCCAACGACTCAGTAATAATGTCGACCATAGTTTCATGGTCCATACGGCCGTTGAGTCTGCTTTTAGCTGGCCTTGCGCTTCTTCCAAACGTATCTCAGGCCAATCCGTCTGTCAACGTTGCCTTGAGCGCTTCATTCAATTCAGCTCCTTACCTCGTGGAACTCCTGTAAGCCACCTAACCACCATTAGCCATTCCCTTACTGACATGTGAGTATCAGAGAAACAGCGGCCGAAGAGAACTCGACTTCCTATTTTCCCCTTCTCGATCGCATTGCCGATGGTAGATTCGTGGATGCCACCACCGAGAAAGACCTCTACGAACAATTCATTCAGGTGCTCAGCGAAGATGGCCATATTACGGATCCCGTTGCCTTGTCATCATTCAAGTTTGCATTGTCGATTCGATCCACTGCGCCGCGAATCCAGGCTCATTACCAATATTATAACTCCTCCGTTGAGAATTCGTTGATGGCGGCGCAGGATGCTGTGTGTCAGGTTTGGGCGCATTATGACGGATCTCAGTATTGTTCGCCTACTTTAGAGCATGCCCAGCAGCCTTTAATTGCTGGAAGGGACGAGTGCGTGAGTCGTTGATTTGTTGGAAAAGCGAGCGAGAAGAATAGTGGGATGGTTTGAAACGCTGCTAACTGCTGTTGCTTCTAGGTCACTTGAGAAACTGCTTCCTTTCGATCGTGTGTTGGCTGCTCCAAACGCCGAAGATGAGGAAAACCAGCAATCGCTAGTTTTATATGCCGATATAACCTCGCCTTTATTCAGCGAGTTCCACAAGGCAGTCAGCAGAAGAGCCAGAGATGGCGAGATGTCTTACAGGGTTCGTTACCGGCCATCGACGGCTGCGTCTAGATCAGCAACGCCTCTTTTCGTCAGTGGTTATGGAGTAGAACTTTCTCTCAAGCGTACCGATTACATCATGATTGATGATCGGGCTTCAGGAAAAAGCGACTCTAAGGAGGCTCCCCTTGACTCAAAGCCAACATTGGCAGTTGACGGACTCTCTGACAGCCCTACTGCTGACCTTGAACCTCTTTCGTCATCCGAAGTGTCAACTCTTGGATTGAATGCTGCGAGTTTTGTCATGAATAGTGATGACCCATTCGATACCCTCATCAAACTATCTGATGATTTCCCTAGGCACTCAAAGACAATTGCTGGCGTCAATGCAACCTCAGAATTTCTCGCTGAATATGAGGAAAATAGGAAAAATGGATTGCAGCCAGGTATAAACACTATGTGGATCAACGGTGTTCAAATGTCTCCTCAAAACATCGATGCTTTTTCCCTTCTAGCCCATCTAAGGCAGGAGCGGAAACTAATGAACTCGCTTAATGAACTTGGGTTGCAAGTACAAGAAGCCGTCAAGCTTTTGTCTCATCCAGCCATCACAATGGCCCAGAAAGTACACGGAAGCCAGAGGTACGACTATCGAGATGATATTGAGGGAGGGGGAGTTATCATCTGGCTCAATGATCTAGAAAAGGATTCTCGATATAAAGATTGGTCAGACGATATCATCACAGTAAGTTGAATCAGCTATTCTAAACTCCTTCAAGACCGAGTGCTTATAAAATAATATAGCTTCTGCAACCAACATATCCTGGCCAGTTCCATGAACTCCGTCGCGATGTTCACAACGTCATTGTTCCTTTGGATCTGGCAAATAAGGAAGACATTACTCTCTTTGTCGAGGAGATACAAGCTTTTGTTCTGAACAATGTTCCTATTAGATTCGGATTGGTTCCAACCCAGCTTAGTGAGCTCTCTAAGGAGCAGGCGAAGATTGCTTATCATTTGAATAAAACTTACGGACTTGAGTCTGTGTTTAGTTACTTTACCGAGGTTTGTCTTCGTCAAGCTATGTAATCACCACATGCGCAGAGGTGCTAACTTACTTACTTTAGATATACTCATCTCAGAAATTCAATCTACCCAGCAAAGTTGATTTTGAAACAGCTATCAAAGACAAGGAGCCGAAAGATGATCAGTCAGTAATCTTGTTTGAAGATGTGCTGAAATCTACTGAACTCGATGCCTTGATACAAAAGTCTAGAGGCTATCTCAAGAGATTAGCTATCGACAGAGAGAATCCTCCTGTATATGCCAACGCTATCCCCATTGAGCGTGACGAGCGATGGATGCACTTCCTAATCGACAGGTTGTTCAAAGATGTGCAGGGTTTGCAGCGGCGTATTTATGAAGGGGACTACCAGGGAGACGTTTGGCTTCCCAGCTTTTACCTGGAAGAAGCGTCTCCAAAATTCAACACATTGGTTATCCCCGACGACCCCAGTGACATAACCGTGAAAAGCATAAACAATGCTTATTCGAAATATAAGGAAGCTTTTGAGAACATTCCACGAATACCAGGGAAGGGCGATTCTGGCATAGATAAATGGGCCCAACTGGCACTTGTTATCGATCTAGATGATGAACATGGCGCAAAGCAATTGGCTAACGCGGTTGCTTTCCATAAAGCAAATCCAGAGGTGGAGGTTTTGATACTGCACAAGCCGTCGATGCCAGAAAATGGGCCAGGCCTGTCTACTGAGCTGCATAAACTCCTTGACGATGGACGTGATTTGGAAATAGATGCCATCGACGCTTTGCTTGACAAGGAAACGGAGAGCAAGAGGACCTCAGCCGATGCACAGAAGTTTTACTCGACTATCCAGCCAGTGATAACTGAGCTAGGAGCGGACGGGAATGGCATGCATGTTATTTTGAATGGAAGATTGATTGGACCCCTCAACCAGACAACAATCTTGGACACTCAGGATCTGGAATTGGCACTGCAGTATGAACGTTCCAAGCGCCTTACTCCTGTGGTAATAGCCCTCGAGTCACTAAAAGAAACCGATAAAATCCGTGATCACCTTGCCTTTGCAAGACTCACATCCATGGTAGCACTCTCGACAATTTCAGATATCCCGGAAGGAACTTTCCAAAGACCCCCGATGATCCGCACTGAAATTTTCAATAGCTGGGTCACCAAGCATTCAGCAATTACCGTATCGAACTCAGAAGCTCCCTTGATCAACATCGTTGCGACATTAGACCCCGCAACAGAAGTTGCTCAGCGGTGGATTCCCATCTTGAAAGTTTTGTCCCAGCTCCACGGTGTCTCTCTACGGATATTCTTGACTCCCCTAGAGACCATTAAGGAACTACCTGTGAAAAGGTTTTACAGACATGTCCTTGAACCTGCACCATCGTTCCGTGACGATGGCTCACTAAATCGACCTGGTGCTTCCTTCCATGGGGTTCCCCAGGAAGCATTACTGAACCTCGGCATGGATGTTCCGCCGTCATGGCTTGTGGCCCCTAAAGACTCAGTCCATGATCTAGATAATATAAAGTTGAGTTCTCTAAAAGAAGGCACCAATGTTGATGCCATTTACGAGCTTGAACATATCTTGATTGAGGGCCATTCCCGCGACATGTCTAAGAACAAGCCTCCGAGAGGTGTCCAGCTACTTCTAGGAACCGAAAGGGACCCTCATTTTACTGATACCATTATCATGGCAAATCTCGGCTATTTCCAGTTTAAGGCACAACCAGGGCACTGGCAGATAACATTGAAGCCGGGTAGAAGCGATAACATTTTCAATCTCGATAGTGTTGGTGGCATGGGTTACAGCCCTAAGCCGGGTGACGATAACAACGAAGTCTCGCTACTGTCATTCCAAGGAAAGACCCTCTTCCCTCGTTTGTCTCGCAAATCTGGCCACGAATCGGATGACGTTCTCGAGGATGGATCTAAGAAACAAGGTTCAGCAAAAAATCTTCTCTCCCAGGGGCTTGATTTCGCATCTGGTGTTTTCTCCGGTGTATCAAAGACGCGAAAGGAGAAACATGCGGACATTAACATTTTCTCAGTTGCCAGTGGCCATTTGTACGAGCGAATGCTGAACATCATGATGCTATCTGTGACGAAGCATACGAAACATTCTGTCAAATTCTGGTTCATTGAGCAATTCCTCTCACCTTCATTTAAGACATTTGTCCCTCACTTGGCTGAAAAGTACGGATTTTCTTATGAGATGGTTACATATAAATGGCCACATTGGCTCCGCCCACAGCGTGAAAAACAGAGAGAGATTTGGGGTTACAAGATCCTCTTCCTTGATGTGCTTTTCCCCTTGTCATTAGACAAGGTTATTTTCGTGGATGCAGACCAAATTGTCCGTACTGACATGTACGATCTCGTTTCTCTCGATCTAGAGGGAGCTCCATATGGCTTCACGCCAATGTGTGACTCCCGGACCGAGATCGAAGGCTTCCGGTTCTGGAACCAAGGATACTGGAAACGTTTCTTGCGTGGTCGACCGTACCACATTTCTGCGCTTTATGTTGTTGACCTGAACCGCTTCCGTGCTATCGCCGCTGGTGATAGGCTTAGAGGACAATACCAATCTCTATCTGCTGATCCAGAAAGTTTATCTAACCTTGACCAAGACCTACCAAACCACATGCAGCATTCTATTCCTATCAAGAGTCTTCCCCAGGACTGGCTTTGGTGCGAGACATGGTGTTCTGACGAGTCTCTCAAGACCGCCAAAACGATCGACCTCTGCAATAACCCAATGACCAAGGAACCAAAGCTCGACAGGGCAAGAAGACAAGTACCTGAATGGACTGTTTATGATGAAGAGATCGCACAGCTGGCACGGACAGTCGGCGCAAAAGACACTGAGTCGGATCATACCCAACATGAAGCCAAAGAGACAGAACCGGAGGATACGAGCAAGGACGAGTTGTGAAACGTGATTCCCCATTAAAATTTACTATACACAGATTCCTAGATTTACCAGCCGATGTTTAGAAACAAATTGTCTATTTTATATCCTTTTTGTCTCCACTTATATGGGCGGCGAGCTCCGCTGTCCGTCTGCCGCGGGCCATGCGTCACGTGCATTTACTTTAACCTTCCCACCATCTATAAATCAACGTCCATCCTACAGTGGAAAGAGTGTACTCATACGAAGACAGTTTCAGGGGGTTTTCTAGAGAAAACCTGTTGTAATTCTGTTTTGGAGCATAGTAGTGTCTATTTTCTTTTTAATTCACTATGGAGTCTAAGGATTCATCACAGAAACCAGGGGAGGCCGAAGTAGTGGTCATGGTCTCCTCAAGGGCAATAATCTCGGGCATACTTACTCCGGCTACTATTGTCATTTCAGTTGCAACAGGCAAAATAACTTCTGTCTCCAAGACTGTTCTTCCTGAATCTGAATTTAAAGGCCAAAATATCTCATATAAGGATTATTCTCCATGGGTTCTTATGCCGGGACTTGTCGATGCGCATGTGCATCTAAATGAACCTGGGCGAACAGAGTGGGAAGGATTCTATACGGGCACTCAAGCAGCGGCTTTTGGTGGTGTGACTACCGTCATTGATATGCCGTTGAATTCCATCCCTCCAACGACGACAGTTCCATGGCTGGAGGAAAAGGTCAAAGCAGCAGAGGGCCAATGTTGGGTTGACTATGCCTTCTATGGAGGGCTAGTGCCGAACAACGCCTCTGAGTTGAAATCCTTGGTAATGAGTAATGTAAAGGGATTTAAGGGGTTTTTGATTGACAGTGGTGTATGTATCGCTAGAATTATGCTCGAGGGTCAAAACACTGTTGCTAAACTTCTGATAGGTGGAGGAGTTCCCGGCTGTTTCCTCAGGAGATATCAAATCTGCAATGGAGGAATTAGCAAACGAGAAGACTGTTCTCATGTTCCACGCTGAGATGGAAAGCCCAGGGAACCCAGAAGATCAGGGGCATGGAGGATGCAGTACATTCAAGTCTCCAACATCATATTCAACTTTCCTATCATCCCGACCTCCCAAGCTTGAAACCACTGCAGTACAGGAAATCCTATCACTCTCTTACGTTGCACCAGATTTGCCTTTGCATATTGTACATTTGTCTGCTGTCGAATCAATCCCTATGCTGCGCGAGGCTCGTGGGAAAGGAGCAAAGATCACTGCAGAAACATGCTTCCATTACCTGTCTCTAGCTGCGGAAGATATCCAAGATGGTGATACGAGGTTCAAATGTTGTCCTCCAGTCCGTGGAAAAGCCAATCAAGACCAGCTTTGGGACGAACTACTTCGCCATTCCTCGGATGGGGTTATAAAAACAGTGGTTTCCGACCACTCGCCTTGTACGCCAAATTTGAAGATGCTTCCCAGCCATATCCCTGGGAACACAGGGGAAGTAAAATCCGGTGATTTTATGGAAGCTTGGGGAGGTATATCTTCCGTGGGTCTTGGGCTGCCCATCCTATGGACTGAAATACAAAGGCGATATAAGGGTGATTTTACTCCTGCGGGAAAACCATTCTTAGAGGAGATCGCTCGGTGGTGCTGCAGCAATACTGCTGCACAGGTATCATGCGATAAGCTAAAAGGCTCCTTGGCTGTCGGCTATGATGGTGATGTGTGCGTTTTTGATGACAAGGCGGAGTGGGTGGTCGAACCAAGCACCATGCTGTTCAGAAACAAATGTTCCCCGTACCAGGGGAAAACCATGAAGGGTATCGTAAGGGAGACCTGGTTGAGAGGCCGGAAGGTATTTACTCGGTCTGAGGGTTTTCACGGAACGTGCAGCGGTGTCCGAATTTGATCAAGCCAAGATTATATGCCTAGACGTCCTCGAATTTGCCCCTGAATAATACATGTATGCAATTCAAATGGTTACCCATGTTAACACCAATCAAGGAGATATGTAATGCTTCAAATCTTCCTTCTGTCTATGGGTTTTAAACATTAAAAATCACTCTATTGATTTGTGCAATGTTCGGGCACTATTTGACAATAACTTACCTTTACTCCTGCTCCAACTTGTTCTCTTTCTCCCTCCATTTGTCACGGACTCTCCTTCGAGCTCCACCGTTGACACCTTTACCCCATATCTCCTCTTTCTCACCATCCTTGAACGAAACGGATGTAGATACTTTTGCTGGGACCTGGTTCTTATCATGAGGTGGATCTTCAACTAACCCAATAAACACCTTCTTCTCAACTTTGGCCTTCTCTTTTGCCTTTGCAGTGGCTACTTTTCGGAGGTAAGAGGCATAAACCACCACTTCAGCAACGCCAACCAATATCCCAACAAATAGAGAGACGAACACCCGAAAAGGTTGCGAAGAAGGGGCGTGAGGATAATAATAATGGGAGTGAGGATCGCTGCTTGGGGAGCTAGGATGTCCTGACCAAGGCAGTAACGTAGACAGCTTTGGTATTCGGAAATTAGACAGACCCCAGTAAGTCGCGAATCCAGTAAATAGTATAGAGACGAGAATGTTCAGCACCAATGAAGGGGTGATAGGGTCGGATTCGTCATTTTCCATAAGAACGGACTGTTTAGCTCCATCATGTATCCGACTCGAGGGAGAAGCAAATATCGCAGCAGGCTGACGTTTCAATTCGGATGGAGAGAGAGGATGGAGGAGGGAATTGTATTGGTTTTGTTCTGCTTCTGCCAACAGCTTCGCTTTCAGGGCAAGGTACTCTGGACTCTAAAGCAGGTCTGTTAGACAACATAATCAGATGAAATACTATGTGGAAGTCACTCACTTGTGCAGGTTTCGGGGGTGGAGGAGGAATGTAGAGCTTCGTTCCACGGAGCAGGCTGTTCAACGTATACTTGCTGCCTTCGCAAGTCAGAGAATCAACCGTTTCCGCGACATCATCTTCTTCATCTGTATTTGTTGACCTCGATGGATGAGAAGAGAGCCTCCGTGCAATTGATATCAACTGCTCATGGGATATAGGATCGTTTAAGATGGGAGTTTCAGCTAAAGAAAGTTCCTCGCGTGCTGTCAAGGGAAGAGCTTTGATCGCGGAGATGATGGCTGGTGTAGCTGTCAATAGCACCATTATGGCTTAAGCAAAGGTGTAGCTCATCTATATTCTGTATAGACCCTGTTTGAACCCGAAATACCAGCTAGATGTATATATATAGTAGTGCAAGTCCTTCGAGCGAAGTTGTTGACATCGCCGTGTTGGTTTTCGACGGATCCAAAAAACGACGTCACTCTTTGGCGATCTTCCCACCACCACCAGAATATTGAATGTTATCAGGGACAAAAGTGCTGCCGCAACTTCCACTGCTCTGAACCATAGCATATCACATCCACAGGCGCACGTATACCTTTGAATTATGAGTTGCTGATACTCAAATATATCCAAGAGTCATCAACTTATCCGCCAAACACCCGTGAAGCCCATCGCGATGGCAGAGAGAGAAGCAGAAAAGTATACTGCCTTCCCCCACATTCAGTCTTCACGGCCACTTGAATGGAAAAGAGACCGTGAGAACATTAGCTGATATATGGAATTATACAGAAAGCGAACACTCCCTACCACGGGCTCGAATCCCCGTGGCATCCCCGCCGCTCCCTTCGTCGACAATGTTTCCGACTATGTGACTACCAGGGCGGATGTTGAGCCCACCCTACGGTCATTCCAGGAGATGGTGTCGAAATATCAGTTTATGGAGGTCAACACACAGAGACGCGCACAGGGACTGCAGCAAAAAATCCCAGATATAAGGAAAACACTGGAGACAGTCCGGTTTCTGAAGTCCCGGAGAGAGGTGCGGACACGATGATGTCCAATGGCTCTGTTTGATACAGGACCTCTTTAACACTGATAGCTAATACTATTTACCAGGCCGGTACCAACGAACCTATCCAAACTACATTCGACATGAACGATACGCTGTATGCCCATGCGACTGTATTGCCCGATGACACGGACGAGGTGTTTCTATGGCTTGGAGCAAATGTCATGCTTGCATATCCTATCGATGAAGCAGAACAGCTACTAGAGGAGAAGTTACAGGCGGCAGAATCAAGTTTTAAGAACTGTGAAGAGGATATGGAGTTTTTGAGGGAGCAGGTTACGGTCAGTTTACTCCTTTGTTTGAACGGAAAATATAGGTGTCTAACTAACTAATTGTTTGGTTCTAGACTCTTGAAGTTGCAACGGCCCGTGTGTATAACTGGGATGTAGTACAAAGACGAAAGGAGAAGGCTGAAGGTAAAGAAGAGGAATCAAAAGGTGAAACGGGACGGATACGGACAGACGGTTAGATTTGGATGGGTATAAAAAAAAGCGCATGTTTCTATGCTTGTGTTCCTGTCAACTAGTAGCCCTTAATCCGTTTTGTATAACGTGGGAATATGATACAAGGGTAGAAGTTTGATATATACAAACACTTATTGGTCTGGTATCTAGTGACTGGTGGGAGTATTCACATTGTTTGATAGCCGAGACATCGTGCAAAGGGAAAGTCATATAAACAGGTCAAATGAGAGAGCATGATTTATCCAGGAGGGATAAAATAATTAATACAGTGTTATAATATTGAATTACTCTCTAATGAAATCTCGAGCGCACCTCTAAATGAAAGGAAGAGGAAATGCAGAGAATCCAGGAGTAGAAATATCAACATGGCGGCTGCATCAAAATTCTGTGCAAAGCCAACAAGCAATATGCAAGAAACGAAGGACGTATTAAAGCAAATAAGTTGACTCCACAGTAGATCAAGTTGGCCAAATCCCAATCTAAAACATGCTACCAGAGCATCAGGAAAAAAAGGAAGTATCAGGTACAAGGGCGCTTAGGCTGCATTGTAAGAGATATTAAAGCAGCATAATTAAGCGTAAGATGTAGCTGAAGGTGTAGATGCGAAATAAGACATGAAAATGACGGTGGAAAAAGAACAATACGCAATTAAATGGCAGACATATGGTGGTGCTCGTGAGGTAAGCATATGCATAACGGTATGGAGTCAAACAAGACATAACAAAAATAGAAAGGAAAGAAAAGGATAGAAAACAAGCCCTGGCACACCCTACCCACCTTTAAATAGGACGTCATAAATCATAATATATGCGTTAAAAACGTGTGTCGGTTAGAGCGTATTGTAGTGGAGTTTTCATTAGTCGCCTGGAATTAACAAGCAACATCATCTTCGTCATCGTCTGGAGGAGGTAAAGTTCCCGCCGCAGCACCGTCCATCATAGTGGAAAGGTCACTACTGGGATCCTGGGCTTTAGCAAAGATATCGTCGCCGACGAAAGTCCAGGATTCTTCGATTCCATCTAGGAAATCTCCATTGTTCTCCTCTTCAATTCCTTCATTGGACGGGCTGCCCGCAGCAGAACGGCGCAGATAAGTGAGAGTTTTGGCGTATTCAAGATCGCGATATATCGACTGGATAGCTTTGCCAACGCCATCTTCCTGTGGTACGAGTTAGTTAATTTCGGATACACCAAAAATATGCAATAGAGATAAAGCGTACCTGACGTATCCGTTGGCCTATTTGCTTTGCTTTTATTATCATGCGCTGGCTATTGGTTGCTTCCCACAGAGCTCTGGTAAAGGTAGCAGAATTTAGCTTCTTCATGCAAATACCGACGCCTAAATCCTGCACACGGATGCCGAAGAAGAACTGATCTCCGAAGAAAGGTTTCACAATCGTAGGTACGCCGGCTCGAAGACTAGCTCCGGTGGTACCAGCTCCACCGTGATGAGCAACGGCATCAACCTGGGCAAATAGCCAGTCATGGGGAGCAGAGTCGATTTTATAGATATCTGAAGGGAGATCAACTTCCATTTGCGAACTCCGTGGATCGCCGTGCCTATCGGACCAGCCTTTGGACAGAATACATCGCACACCGGTCTTCAGGACAGAATCAATGACGGTTCTTGTCATGGCAGCAGGGTCAGAGACGACGATGGAGCCGAATCCAATGTAGACCAGTTTCTTCTTGTCGGCTCTTGCCTTGCTAATAAAGGCAACAAGGTCTTCTGGTGGTGTCCAGTCAGGTTTTGCATCCAAAAACCAGTAGCCAGTCACCCGTACCCATTCTAAATAGTCGTTGGGAGGAGGTACGACCGAAGGAGAGAAGTTGTATAGGAAAGGCACTTTATCCGGCTGCATCTTGTCAAGACTGGTAGGTTTGAGATTAAGTTGGTTCTTTCTCCATCGGTTGATTTGTCCAGATATAGCCTTCCAAAATACGGTATCAAAAACGACGTATGTTAGTTTATTGTAAGTACCTCCTAGATTGCGGTCTGGGACAGCAAAGGCATGAGGATAAGCTGTTGTTTTTGTCCAGGGCATAGTGAAGGCACGGAAGTATGGTATCCCCAAAGCTTCGGCAACGTGAATTCCAGCCATGGCGCTGGGTGATTCTATCAGGACATCAGAGTCTTGACAACCCTTCCAGGACGAGGCAAGGAGGTCGTCTATCCATCCGCGGAAATTTTCAGATGCTTCTTTTAAGAAAGCATATGTAAACATGCCGTTGTCAACGCATATTCGCATGAGTTCGGCGGGATCGCCATCGATCGGTGCAAAGTCGATACCGTGCTCTCTTATCCAGCCTTCGAACTCCTTGTGGGTTGCTATCCGGGGTTTATGCCCTTCTTCTAGCAAGCCCTTGCAGAGCGAGATGTAAGGCTGAACATCACCGCGAGAGCCTATGGTGAGGCAGGTTATTCGCAGCGGTTCTGTTGGTTTGAAGTTGATAATAGATGCCGAGTTGTCGTCGAAAAACATGGGTGAGTTATCTTGGGATAGGTTAGATATTGAGGATTTGAGAGTTTGAGTGTCAAAGGCGTCGTTCGCATTGCCATCAGCAAGGCCGGATCCGCTATTGCTGCCCATTTCTGCCGTAGCTCCTACTTCGTTTTCCCCGCCTCCGGTACTTCTGCTTCTCTGGCGGCCGCTCACTTGGTCATATAGTCGCTGAAGCTCTTCTTCTGTCTCTGGCGGGAAAGTAGTAGGCAGCTCCTGCTGGCCCTGGTGGGCCAGGAGTTCACACAGTCTCCAGAATGCTCTTGACATCTTGCCAGAGGAGGACACAAGGGGACTAAGGGAGCGATAGACAGTGTCTCGCGAAGGGACAGGGGGCAGCGAGATGCTTCTAGGGAAGTAGGAGGCTATGGAGCGCTTAAGGTCTCGCGGTATCAGCGGCCACATAGTACGACGGTCTCCATGTTTGCGGTGATAGAATAGTAACTAGTTGGTTAGAGAGATACGAGGGTGTCAACTCTGGCTGCGCGCTACGAGCCTACCCCCCCTGGACCTTGGAGACGCCTTTCACAAGCATATTACGACAGCGCATCTCATAGACCGAAAGACTACCTGCTATTAAGTAGTTATATATTCTATACGGGGGAGCCAGCAGAAGCATCGCCACAGGCAATTGGTCGGCCTCTGCAGATCGGCAGACGTTGTCAGGCTTCCCATGCCGCGCCCCAAATCTCGCTGCTTGCTGCCAAAGCTCCAGCCTCTGCCTCCCATCGCCATCTCCCAATGATCGATCCTGCTGGTTTCAATCCGGTATTGCTTTTTCCTCTTCTTTTTCTCTTCCCACTCCCTCCCTTGGCCCCTCGCTGTTTGTTGGATCTCGACATGTACGACTTTTCTTTTTTCTGTTTAGCCACCTCCGCTGCCCGAGGCCCTGCCCGGATCCAAACTTGGATGCTCGGAGCGCGTGGGAGAGACGCCCTTTCCCCGATTTCCCCCCCCCCCCCCCCCCCCCCCCTGGGTTAAGGCAGATTCAGCCGTCATCTTGCATGGCTTGCTGTCCCAGCTAACAGGCCGTGTCTTGTCAGCTAACGGACCCTAACGACGCTGCTAAAGAGACATAGAGGTCTCCTGCAATCTCTCTCTCTCTCTGGTAAACGGCTCGAGCATAATTTATCTCTTGCCAGGGGCATAGCTTCAGCTTTTCTTTTTTTTTTTTTTTTTGGCTCCTCCCTTGGCTCCGTGTGGGGATACCCCAGTTGTCCAAGACGAACTCCAATTCAGTCAAAACAGCTCCATGAGATAGTTTCACAACCCCTCTAACACTTTACTCCTCCATTTCTGTGACGTCTTTACGTGGACGGTGTATAAGAGAGCGATCTTATCTACCGGGATGAGGCGTGGTCAATCAGGGCGAGTCAGAGAACCCACAGGATCGCGGGGAAGCGCACAGAGTACAGCAGAGTACGAGGTCATCACGGTTCTCTGCAAGGGGGTGTCATCGTTAGCTTGCTGACTTGACTTTCAACGCTGCCAGGGGTCCGTCATGCACGTCAATCCTTCTCTGTCCTCTGGCTGGCTAGCCTGGCTCGGGATTATCTGTGAATGAACAGGCCAGCTGCATAAATTAATGGCTCGAACAAGTATAAGCCCCGTCGCATGAGACCCTGGCCTATATACATTATTCCTGCTAACATACGGAGTACTCCGTACGGAGTAAGTAGTTAGTATATGCATACATCTTGCCGTCTCTTGGCCCATCAGTTTATGGGCATCTTGACTGCAGGTCAACAGACGTATACTTACAGAGTACCTGTTCATATGGAGGTCCTAACCGACATGGTATAATTCTCGAGATAGCAGAGAGTGTTTTCATTCTTTTTCCGAGGAATACAGCATTGGCTAAGAAGTTTGCTCTAAGGACGTAACTAACGGGAATAGTCCTCCGGTCTTATCCTTTGCAATGCCAGTTTCAGGAATTTTCGCTCTGGTTGTAGACGATAATCCGCCTACGACCTAAGGCCCGAAACCCCTTCGGTTAGCGGCTCCAGGGGTAGTTGTAACACCATTGGCTTCCTCCGGTGACATCTCTTCGTTCATAGCCTTCATATACATGTCAAGAAGATGTCTGTTCGTCTTATTCGTTGCCTCCCACCTTTCAATCGAGACCCAGCCGTCGTCGTCGGGACGAAGTTGGCCTTTGATAATATCAAGCAAATACCAGTCACCCTCGTATCGTGGGATTTTCTCCTTGTGTCTCTCCAAACCCTCTTCACTGAGCTTGAACTGACATTTGCCGGGAAATCCAAGAAGATTACAGTCATGGAAGATCCGCATAAGCAAGTTCTGTAGTGGCACTAGGAAGTCTATTGAGAGGGAAGCTCGCAACATGGTTGCTGATTCATCTTCATTGCGTCGTAGACAGACAGACATTTCGTGATACTTCGATCGAATTTCTAGAGCGTGCTCTTCTTTATTTCTCTTCTCTCATTAGGATCCAAGTCGTCAAAATTCGTTGGTAAGTTTAGGTACGTCTGTTCTTAGACGATAGCTTTTTGGCGGCTAAAGAAACTCGGAAAACTGCACCAGTAAAAATATTTGGCGCGCTTCAATTGACCACCAATCAATTACGCCTTCAATGACGGTTGGATAATCAGGGATATTGAAATTGCACTACGCATGAGAATATAAAGTACCTCAACACTGTTGGTGGCAGTGGGGGCTTACAAAACTTTAATGTAGAAGCTGTTGTGAGCAGTGGAGCTATCACTTCCTTCCTATCGTAAGGAGGGAGGCCTTATCGGAATTTCCCTCAATCTCTTCCCACATTTAGTTTTCAACCCGAAGATACCAGCAGCACAGGAACTGGTGTTGTGTGCCATGTATTCACTTCTACGCGCAATTGAGTTCTTGAAGCCCCAGGAACTAGGAAGGTGAAATAGCAAACGAGGCAGCTTCCACAGCTTTTAATTATTAAAGCCAGCTCAAGCGAGTCCCTGGAACGTTTTGCTTACTCCCGAAACTACAAATTGGAGTTGGCGATCTGCTGTATAAGTTACAATGGACAGTTATTGAGGCTCAAAATAGTGAACGGAGTACTAGACATAACACACGATCTAACAGGAACAATTAAGGAAAGAAATAAAGGAAACAGTTGAGTAACGCTGACCTACTCGCCAACGTCAAGTCGAAAGTCCCTGACGTCAAAGATATCGAAATGAAAGGTAAGCTGTCAAGTTATTCCATTTTATGTCCATCATGGATGTCCATCATCATAGATCATCAGCCCTAGATAAGATTGATAAGATCTTTGGTTGCACAAGCTCTAGTAAGGGTTGAAAGTTTATTACATATCAGTAATCAGGTGATTGTATTAGGTAATATCAGTTTAGTTACGCTAGTGCTCTAATAATTGAAACTCTAAAAGGTTCCACTCTCCATGGATGCGGGAGACTCCGTAGAAATCAAGGCGTTGCGGAAACCCCTCTCTCCCTTTATTCCGGTGTGGAACAGGCGAAGAAAAGAGACCTAAAGGGAGAGACGACGTATATATTCCATCTACATTGGTCCCAGAGCAATACTCGGTACAATATACCATGGCATCTCAGGATACCCTCAAGTCGGCTCAGCCTCTGCCACTAGAAGCAGCCAGCATTGCTAGTAGCTCGCCAGCCGAACAGATCGCTGTCTTGGATATCCTTTTTGAACCATCACAGAATCTTCACAACCTAGCTCTTCCCCTGCTCCAAACACCCTTTAATTCATACAGGGAGCTTATCGATCGCGTACGGGCTGAACTCCACCAACTAGCCGAGAGAGCAGCCTCAGACGACACCGACAAGAAAATCCTATATGATATCCTAGGCTCCCATCCCCGCCTTGGTGCCCCCAAAAGCTCTCATTTGAGCGAATTTAGCAGACGGGAACAATCAAATCTCGCTACCGTTACGTCCCCGGGACAAGGGGCCGGGGATGAAGCTGATCGGTTAAGGAAATTGAACGAGGAATATGAAAGGACCTTTCCGGGTTTACGATATGTGTGAGCATGTCTTATATCAATCACGCACTTTCATTTCTCTCATATATGCATGGACGTGAGTGTTAATTTTAATTTGTTGCTGCAGGGTGTTTGTCTGTGGACGGGGGAGGGATGTTATTATGGAAGATATGCGTCGTCGCATTGATGCCGCCGATGTCTCTTCTGAAATTGATACTACTATCACAGTGAGTTTGTTCTCACGTCCCCTGATCCGTTAATCTTCGATCTCCTTCCCATTTTCGAGCAAAGTAATATAATATTTACCATCATTCTAGGCCATGTGTGATATTGCCAATGACAGAGCCTGTAAGTCAGGGTTACACTGGGGGCGAGCTTAAAGTTGGATAGGGCTACATGGCAGCAGACACTACTAAATAGGAACATACCCGCCCTCTATACAAAGTATATAAATACATGATAACACTTCCTCTTACCCTTACCTTCCACCCTCTTCTTTCGTCCCTACCACCTCGAGTTGGATTCTCCAGATTCGAAATATAGACATGTTATGGGTCGCATGGAAATCTATACTAAATATAGAAACATATAGCTTATTCATCAAATATTACAGTCATGTATTGAATACCAAAATGAGCCAATAAGAGCGCTACATTTTAGTTTTTTCTGTAAGGATAGGTATCAAAATTACAGGATTAAACTTCTTCCACTACCTAATCTAATCTGATTAGATTGGCGGCCCGAATGTTACTCCGACGGCGGGTATTTCCCTTCTTGGAAAGTATTTACTTTTTGCCCGGATTTATTGAATATTTTTGTTTCAAGGATGCTGGACGAACTAGCGAAATATCTCCCATTCTTCACAGTTCCCCCTAACCGTACATATACAATGAGCGGGCGATGATCGAAGGTCCGGTATGGATTACATGAATTTCTTTTTTATGACGTGGTCTTCTTGAGCGCTGTTGAATAATGGCGGATACTTCGGACCCTGCGGGCTCCCAGCGCCGTGAGACAGACGCCCAGCGACGAGGTTCAGGGAGTTTAGACGGGGCGACTATCGTGAATCAACCGCGACTAGTAGCAGCTGCGGATGCGAGTAAGTGGTCCACGCCCTATTGATAGACGACTATTAATTAGTTCATCCTCCCTCTGCCCGATCTGCACAAGCCCGAAAGCCTGGGGGAGGCTGATCCACGCTGAGCCGCCAATATTTCCTCGATCCATACTCCGTATACCTCAATGTCTATCCAAGACATGGAATATGTTAACGAATTTCTGCATCTGTACTATTAGGCTCGACGAATGATGGCTCCCTCTACGCGAACAGCCACCAGAATTCCAATCCTGAGGTGCCAAATGACGCCAACCCTTGGCCGCAGCCAAACGTAACTACAGGCCCAGGCCTGAGAAGTCAGATCTCGCATATTTCAGCTTCGGGGCGTCAGAAGCAATCGCCGGGCCCTTCGGCGTCACTCTCTCGACATGATACGCAGGACCAGTCGCCTATCGACCCTTTATCCCAGGTACGTCATCGTTTTTATACAAGCCAGGGTTTGCAGGGATATTTAGTATCGACCCTATCTACTTGCTGTCGAGTACTTCAATAACACAGCCGAAATTTTTACTGTTTTTTTTTATGCGTTATTCCAATAACTAATGAGTGTCGTCTCTGCTCCTCAGCATATACTAAAACGAACAAATACCGAAAGATCATTCACTTCAAAGGCCCGGCCGAGACTTTCTTTTGAAACAGAGCCATTGGCTTCAGAGAGTCATCTACCACCTCTATCCGAAGATGGACCGTCCACCAATAGACCTGAAGCTGGCACTGCACAGGCATCGGCTAAAGACAAGAAGTGAGCTGGAGTATCTATTCGTCGAAGAGATATCAGCTACGTACTGACACTCTATTAGGAAGAGAGTTTCTTTCTTAAGTCGGATAATTGGAGGGAAGAAGAAGGGGCAGGTTTCGGAGGAAAACGATGATGTATCAGAGCTTGGTGAGCCACGGACTACTGGCTTAGATAGCGAGCTCTTTGCACACCCAGTAGGGTATATACCGCGGTATCCGCCTCCGCCAAAATATATCAAAGTCCGGGCGAAGCACACAAAAACAAGGGCATTCGACAGATTATTTCTTGCTCAAGACCTTAAGGGAAGCCCAGCAGAGGCCGAGCTGGATTCAGCCGAATTCGAGGCGAGTGCAAAGGGCAATAAGGCAGTGTGGGCGGCTGAATTCTCTAATAATGGGAAATACCTTGCTGTTGCTGGGCAAGACAAACGGGTTCGAGTATGGGCTATTATCTCAAAGGCCGAGGATAGACATGCACACGAAACTGAGGAAGAAGCACGAAATGACCAAACGGCTGTGAGGCTAAGTGCTCCAGTTTTTAAAACGCACCCCATTCGGCTATACGAAGGTCATACTGCGAGTATTGTTGATTTAAGCTGGAGTAAGGTATGCTTCCGTCAACGACCTCAAAAAGTTGACTTTACCTTGCTAATCGAACCACAATATAGAATGATTTCCTACTTACTACTTCTATGGACAAAACTGTGCGCCTCTGGCATGTTACGCGGGATGAATGTCTATGTTGTTTCAAACATGGAGATTTTGTCACGTCTATTGAATTTCACCCTCGTGATGATCGCTTTTTCCTAGCTGGCTCTTTGGACTGCAAGCTACGGTTATGGAGCATCCCCGACAAGGCCATTGCGTATAGTGTGACCATCCCTGACATGATTACAGCAGTAGCCTTCACTCCAGACGGGAAATACTCGTTGGCGGGGTGCCTCAATGGGCTCTGTACAATCTATGAGACTGATGGATTGAAGCCATTATCACAGCTCCACGTTCGGTCTGCTCGTGGGAAAAATGCCAAAGGGAGCAAGATCACGGGTATAGATACAATTGTTCAACCGCCCACTAACGAAAATGGGTCTGTGAAACTCCTTATTACTAGTAACGACTCGCGAATACGCCTTTATAATTTCAAAGACAGGACTTTGGAAGCCAAATTCCGTGGAAATGAGAATGCGTCCAGCCAGATTCGTGCGAGTTTTAGCAGTGACGGGAAGTATGCCATCTGTGGAAGCGAGGATGGCCGGGTTTACATTTGGCCCCTGGATTCAACTGAGAAATACCCCGACAAGAGGCCAATTGAATTTTTCGACGCTCACAACTCAATCGCGACTATTGCCATCATGGCACCTACTGTTAGCAAAATGCTACTAGGATCTACTGGTGACTTACTATATGACCTATGTAACCCCCCTCCCGTTACCTTGGTCAGCGCTACGGCGTCAGTTATCTCGAGGGATCAGGCACGCAACGATGAGGAACCTGTACCACCGCGGACACCGCAATCCCTTCAACCGCCCAGCCAGCAAAAAGCGGAGGAATCCCCGGCATACGTTGCACGGTCTGCACATCCTGGTGGCAACATCATTGTGACTGCTGATTACCTTGGGAAGATCAAGATTTTTCGGCAGGATTGTGGCTATCACAAACGTCGACACGAACTCTGGGAGACGAATTCAACTTTCTCTAGGAAGCTTTTAGGTCGCACAAACTCAGTATCTACTCGACACAGTGTAGCATCTTCAATTGGAAGGGAATCGAAAACCCCTTCGGAGCGAATCTTATCGTGGCGTAACTCTGTGATTGGCGGCCCTGACAATCGCAGCGTTGATAATCTCCGTGGAACGCCTGAACCTGCCGGACGCAGCGGTTCTCCTTCCAAGCCACGTAAGGACAGCCCCTTCGTGGACACAAATAAGCCCGCCACTCCCAACTCAACAAGTTCGCAACGGTTTGGTGCTACAACCCTCGTTCACCATAACAACCAGCCCACACCGCCCCCTAGGTTCCTCAGCACCGTTAACTCCGAAGAATCCACCACATTTGGGCCCAATGATGAAACGCCTCGGCCGTTTGGGCATAACTCAAACAAGGAGGACCCGAGCTATATATCATGGAATAAAGCGCAAGCTGACACACAGCATGACTCTGCACAGGACACGTATGGTGGAAAGAGTGCATTGGTCAGTAATGGCACTACAGGCGATGATAATGTCGAGTATGAAGAAGAATTGGGATGCTCTCAGTGCCAGGGCAAAAATTTCAGAGCTACCCGTCTTAAAAATGGGGAGCAGAGGTTGATATGCACACAATGTGGCTGTGCTGCCTTATAAGGGTCTTCCTAGCTTGGGTATACGTGTTTACTATATAGCTTCCCTGGCCCACTTACTTTTCGTTGGATATAGCTTCTACCTGGCTTTGGTTCTCACTTTTGGGCGCTTGTTAAGAATGGGGTTGGTGATCAGTGTTATGAGGTCGGTTACCTAAATGGTGACGTGTATATACGAATAGCTATACGTCTTTTCCCTGCTCTGTAGAGCAGACTTGTGCATGTACCTTGGTTGTTTTGTGCTAAAAAAATAAAAAATAATAAAAAATAAACAAATCAAGGAACTCCTAGTTCTCAAAGACCAAAGCAACGGCTGTGAATATTTTATATAGGAGAAGTTGAGTTGGACTGTTTGGTAATTGGCAGTCGCTGTGTTTGCTCTGTTTGCCTTCGACTCACAAGCCACAGAAAAAGTCACGACGTCACAACGATAAATGATAAAACGATAAACCAAATTATCCAATCTATCACCCACCACGAACACAATTTCCAAGCAAAGTATACCTGATTACTGCTGCCATCACCTCTGAAAAAAGCTATATAAATTCCAACACCCGACCTTTACGCCCCAATACCCAGGATCGAAGCCATGGTTTACCTAGCGACTTCACAAGACTATCTTAAACAGTCGTCACTATTACTCGAAGCATATCCAGATTCAGTACGTTGCACCCCCTTGTACATACGATATCTGCATCTATATACCTTTCCATGGAAATTACAAACCTGGAAAGCTTGCCGTGTTAAAACCAAACGGCGCATTGATTAATCAATTGCACTGCTAACTAAATCTCATGTAGACCCGAATAACCACAAAATACTCCTATCCTAAGCGGCCCTCCGCCAAAGAACGAGCCAAAGCAAAGTCGAAAACAGCTGCTCCAGCACCGACAGAAACTCCAGAACCTACCGCCGTACCCGCAACACTTACCTTGAAAACGTTCAACCCCGCTACAGGAATATGTCTAAAATACCAAACGAACAAAGCCGCGGAAGTGGGCAGGCTGATCGCTGGACTGGGCAAGCTGGCCAGTGGCTCACCTATTGAAGACTTTGTACCGGCTCCAGTACCGGTGAAGGCTGCGGCAGGTGAGGCGGAGGATGTTGATATGCCTGATGCTACGCCATCATCGGCGGTTGACGAAATCAGCGGGAGTAATACGCCAGTTGCTGGTGGTGGAGGAGGGGGCAAGCCGGCAAAGGGGAAGAAAAAGGGCAAAGGAAAGAAGTAGAGGATATATGGACTAGTGGAATTGCGGTCTTATATGATATATGGATTATTTATGCCGTAGTTAAAGGGACCAAAAAAAAAAAAAAAAGGCCCAAAATATCAAAAACAAAGACCAAAAAAAATCAAAACATACGAAAGTCGGGGGATTCGCTGGTGGTCACCCACCCAACTACTAACCGACCGGCAAGTGGCTTAAGTACAGCTGAGCGGACGGGAAGCTCTGTTTTCCACTTCCTGTGTTCGTATGTGCTAGACTCTTAGTCGAGAGGATTGATATAGGACTGGTCCATACAAGTGTGGTTGAAAAACATAAACAATTCTGTGTTTTGGCCGTTGATGGACATCAATTACTCGCGGATAACTTGGAGCATGATGCACTAGAAAAGTGATACACTACCAAGGTTCATATACTAAAAGTATTTGACGATATAACTAATTCGATACTTATATAGTACAGGACGAGTAGATGCTTGACTTGAGGTATAGATATAGACATGTCAATATTTAATGATAACAATATTTTTATTATACGCATGACATTCACATTTCCAACCCATCCGAAGCGGACTACCGCGTGTAAAACCATGGACATCCGCCTTGGATAACATACATAAGACATGAAACACATCCAAATAACGCCGAGCCTGCATGAACGTGAAGATAGGAGAGTAAGAAAAGAAAGTATTATAGCATCAGAATCAGATGCTTGGCGAGAGTGGGAAAGTTAGTATAAGGATATCTAGGAGTCGAAGAGGAGGGGTCATAGCATGGGAAGGGGAATCATTGAGACAAAATGAAAAGGAGACGAGAGTGGAGGGTGAAATAATTTAGAAGTCCTCGTCGAATCGGAAAGCGCCGCCGTTCTCGGGTTCTTCAGAAGAGTCCTCTTCCTTCTTGGTACTGGCCATGACACCAGCTTTCTGGTAATCTCCAACACGCTTCTCGAAGAAGTTGGTCTTGCCAGCAAGGGAGATATTGTCCATGAAGTCGAAGGGGTTGGTAGTGTTGTAGAACTTCTTGTTACCAAGAGCAACGAGAAGCCTATCGGCAACGAACTCAATGTACTGGCACATGAGCTTAGCATTCATGCCGAGAAGGGCACAGGGGAGAGCATCAGTCAAGAACTCCTGCTCAATGGTGACTGCTTCGGTGATGATGGCCTCTACGGCACTGGGGTCGGGTCGATAGTTGAGGTGAGAGAACAGAAGGCAGGCAAAATCAGTGTGGAGACCTTCATCACGGGAGATAAGTTCATTGGAGAAGGTGAGTCCGGGCATGAGACCACGCTTCTTCAGCCAGAAGATCGAGGCGAAGGAGCCACTGAAGAAAATACCCTCGACGGCAGCAAATGCAACAAGGCGCTGTGCGAAGGTGGAATCCTTATCTTGGATCCATCGGATGGCCCAATCGGCCTTCTTGCGGATACATGGAACTACGGGTTATTAGCTCTTGCCTCTAAGGTTAGGGGAAGGTGGACAGAGTAACATACTTGTGTCAATAGCTTCGAAAAGGTAGGTTCGTTGCTTCTGTTCCTTAATGTATGTGTCGATGAGGAGGGAGTATGTTTCGGAGTGAATGTTTTCCATCATGATCTGGAAGCCATAGAAGCAACGGGCTTCCGGTACCTGGACTTCGTTGCTGAAACGTTCAAGGAGGTTCTCGTTAACGATGCCATCGGAGGCGGCGAAGAAAGCCAAGACATGGGAGATGAAGTATCGTTCATCGTCATTGAGCCTGTTGTTCCAGTCGTGAATATCCTTTGAGAGATCGATCTCTTCGGCAGTCCAGAAAGAAGCTTCAGCTTTCTTGTACATTTGCCAGATCTGATAAGATAACGCGTTAGTCCTCAGTAACACTTTAACACGTAACGCGTCGGATAGGGTTCCTAGCATACCTCGCGGTATTTGATCGGGAAAAGAACAAAACGCTGAGGATTCTCCTGGAGGAGGGGCTCCTCTGCCTCCAGCTCCTTGGGCGTCTTGGGCTTGACAACCTGGGTCTCAGCAGGCTTTGAGGCCTCAATCTCGACCTTCTTCAGCTCTGGCTCAGCAATATGCGAAGAGACAGGAGCATTCTCCTTGTCCGCGTGGTCCAACTTGAGGGGCTTGATGGGCGAGTCGTTCATCTTGAGCTTCTCCAGGGAGGAAGCAGTCTATATCAAGCCATAGCAAGGCGCGTCAGTAAACCACTTAAAACACGCGTATATTGAAGGGATATCAGCGGCATACCTGCTTCGAAGGGGTGGACTGAGTGGCCATTGTGACTGCTGGCGTGTTTTTCCCGAGTGGCTCAAAGGCAAACAAGAGAACGAAGCGTGGTTATCGTGGTGTTGTTGATGGGAGTTGGAGGAGTGGAAGAAAGAGGGCGAAAGCTTTCTCCCTCGCCTTCAAATACTTTTTTGCCTGGAGTCGCGCTAAATCACGCGATCACGCGCTGGAGCGCGATTGCTTAGTCATAATGATATGTTTGCCATGTTTGCCCGACGCGTTATCTTATCTGATCGAAATCTCCGCTTTTAGCTCGCGTTATCCCAGCCGCAGCTGCTGCAGCCCAACATGCAAGACGCACACCAAGGCTCGCACCAAGATGCGCTAGCATGGGCGCCAGGAACAAGGCTGGGCCAGTCACAGCGGAGGAGTGATTGTTGATGGCCCCTTACTCACGTTTCCACCAGCAGTCCCTACGTGTGAGTGGCTGATCAGGCCTTGTTTATGCAGGATCCTCCTCTGGACGCGACTTGCTTTCGAAACTATCAACTGGCTTTCAGCATGGGCAATCATATCATAGCCTGGCGGTTCCGCCTTATCCGCCATAGCCTGTTTCTGGTGATGGGCCGTCGGAAGTTTTGGTTCCGTTTCCATTATCGCCGAGTAATGGTGAGACATCAGACGATACGCCAGGCTTTGCTGCGCTCATTGTATCATTTTATTATATCCGGCATCCCGTCTTGCCCAAGGTCTAAATACCAATGTTGCCACCCTTTCTACCATGCAACGCGCCGTTCGCGTCCCGAGATTGCGGGTGAGTTTAGAATTATGTAGCTGAACCTGGCCACCCCCTGCATTCGGCTGCAGCTCTGTTGAAATTACAGAGTATAAAAGAGCAGACGACACCGCTCGCGAAAGATCCATTATTGCCAGCAAAATACCACTTCCCCCCTTTTTTTCAGTCTTTATTCTCTAATACGAAACTATTATTATCCCGTCTATATTGTCCTCCAAGAAATCTAGTTCGATGAAACGCTTGCCCGGAAGAAGCATACAGTCTATATATACATAACGGAAATGTGAATATACAGAAGCGATAAAATCACTTATATCCAAGCCTTCACGGATTCTGGTAGGAATGTATCTTCGGCTTTGCGCATGATCTTAGTACATTGTTCCATGAATGTAAGTGTCAAAACCTAGGTGAAAGTCATGTTAGAATATATATAGTTTCAAGTGTGGGAGTAGTATGCTAATAACTTACCGTATGAGGGACTACACGGGCCAGATGAGCCGAGACACCCTTGTAAATGGCGAACAGACCTTCAGCCTTGATTGTCTTCTTGACACAGTCAAAGACGCCATTGTAAAGGTTGCCGCTTTGATTGTACATTCTGGACATGATAGTGTCTGGAGGGTGCATGGCAATACAAACAACAACACCACTGGCAGCACTGCTGGTAAGGTGAAGTGGGAGCCCCTCTTCCATTCCGAGATGGCGTATCAAGTTTCGCTTGGCGAAAAAGTATGTAGGTAGTTGAACAGAGCTACCGAAACCAGTTCGGATCATGGAGGCCATGGCGCCACGGTATAGTCCAGGTACTCCTTCGCTAGCGAAGATCTTTCGTAACCCATCCGTTGAGCCTTTGTAATTGTGTTGTGTGCCAACTGGAAGAATTGGAGAGTAAGACTGCAGCCTTGTCTTAACCAGGAAAAAAGGGGAGGCAACAGCAGCACCGATAACTCCGGAAGTAGCTCCGGAGAAAACATTGATAGCCATTGATTGCGTTTTGGGGTCATCGTAGAAAGAGGTGGTGAGACTTTTGCGAATCGGTTCGTAAAAGGAAAGCCGACAACCGTTCAGCAGAAGTTGGTATGTATACTGCATATACAGATTTTGATCAGCTACCATCTTGCTGCGGGTATATCTTTGTGTATAGCTCGTACCGCTGCGTCAAGACCACGGAGCAGGCCTCGCGGACCTTCGTTCCTTAGGATGACGGTGATTCCATGGAACACACCCTTATATTGCCTGGCGACATTGTTCTTTGCTTGTAGCTCTCCTTGCAATTGTAATCTTTTCCGTCTTGTGTTAGCTTCCGCGGACTCCAACTAGCAATTGGTATAACAGCCGGCGTATTACCGAATCTTGACAGTCTCAAAGCTGTGTGTCAGGGTGACGGCACCACAAGCGGCCAGACCACCGGCAAGAAATGCTCTATATTCAAATAGAAGGTAAGCTAGTGGCATCAAACGTTGATTCTTGATAACAGACCTACCCGGTAGCGGTGGACATCGTTGTTCCTTACACCCGGTATCTTCGTTCTCACGGGGAAATTGGACAAAAATACGGGGAGATTGAGCGGAGAGGGTCTTCAAACGGGAATGAAAAAGGCGAATTATTAGCAAGTAACTCGCAAAGACATCGACATAGTTCCTTATTCTGCTCAATGGCAATATCAATGGGTAAGCAGAGAAAAGTGCCCGGGTCAGAAGGACAAGACGACGGGAATGTCAACACTTTAAAATCGGCCTTCTCAATTGAAAATTCCAGCGTATCAGATTGTCTTAATAATAAAGTTTTACGGGGCTGTTTCGGGATATGGATCAACATTAATACGATGATTACATAATCAGATTTTCAGTCGGTTCCAATCTATCAAAACTCAAACTTCCATCGAGCTATCAAAACACGAAAGCAGCACAATACCAAACGGAAGCACCAATAATTTGCGTGCTTACTTTGGATACACAGGTACCTGAGACGTGGTGAATATGGCGGAAACAACAGCAACTCCCGCACAGCCGGTAGAGAAGGTATCGGATGTTATAAAAAATTATAGGCCCGCGAAGGTAAGTTAAGTTAATAGCTACAAGAAGCATTTGGGGAAGGTCACCCACAGTTAACAATTGACGGTTTTTCTTTCCAGGCATTCAGGGGAAATCCAAAGGCTGATAAACAGGTTAATGTAACGTCACTAGACTTCGACGATCAGGGTGACTATCTAGTTGCGTCCGGTGAGGATGAAATGATTCAAGTTTTCGACCTAAAGGAGGGGAAATCCACGAAGACTGTTCCTAGCAAGAAATACGGCGTACATCTTGCTAGATTCACTCATCACTCACGTCAGATCCTTCATGCTAGTACAAAACTTGATGGTGTGTGCTCTATGCTTGTTTATCTGGATTGATGTGCTGATGGAAGCTAGATTCACTCCGACTGCTCGATCTTCACAACGAAAGCTACCTTCGGTATTTCACGGGCCATACAGATAAAGTGGTTTCTCTTGCGGTATCTCCAGGGACCGACGCGTTTCTATCCTGCTCGAAAGATGATACCGTTGCTTTTTGGGACCTTAATTCCAGGAATGCTCAGGGTAAACTTAAGTTGGCTACTCCGTACCTTGCGGCCTTTGACCCATCCGGAAGTGTCATTGCTATTGCTTCACAATCCACTTCATTTGTTCTACTCTATGATTTCCGGAACTTTGACAAGGCGCCCTTCGCATCCTTTGATCTCTCCCCTCTTGAAGACCGATATACCCCAACAACTAAAGGGCGTGCCTGGACGCGCCTGGAATTCTCAAATGATGGAAAAAGCTTGCTAATCGGAACTGATTACCACGGTCATTTTGTTCTTGATGCATTTGAGGGCAATCTTAAGGCATTTTTGGTTGGGAAACATGGACCAACTGGCCGGGCCGCGCCAGTTTCTACAACTGGGAAGCCTCCCGGCCAGGGCGATGTATGTCTGACTCCTGATGGTAGATATGCGATAGGAGGCGCAGGAGAGCAGCCAGACACATTGGTCTGGGATCTACATCAATCTCCAGATGCGAAACTATTCCTCGAACCCATGACCCGCTTACCTTACTATCGAGCACGCACTACACTAGTCCAGGCGAACCCTCGATACAATATGTTTGCAACTGCGGATAAGGAAATTGTTTTCTGGCTTCCAGAGGACCCTACTAAGATGGCTGAAAAATGAGCAATGTGTGACATCATTCGTCATCGTATACCGCTGTTTTAGAACGCTACCAATACATCTATATTGCTCTGCTGCTATCTTTACCAATCAGACTGCGAGCAGTATCACACACCCACACTGTCGGACCGCAGACCTCATCGTCATCTCCACGCTCCTCCTCCACCCAGGTCTCGATCTGTTTTACCACGGTTCGGTTACTTGATACAGTTGTTAACCCGGCAGCCCATCCATATAGGAACACGCTCCGATTGATATCACTCAATTTTTGCGCAATCTTGCATGCAATAGATGGAAGAGAGCCGTCTTTCCAGCCACGGTCAATATCATCCTGAGCGTCCACCACTTTGATGGGCAATTTCCATTCTAACGGGATGGTATAATCGGACAGCTTTTGAAACTGAGATATGAGGGCCTCTCTATCTGAAGCATCGTTTGCCTCCCCCATTAGCAGCCTAGTGCGCTCCTTTTCTCTGGGTGTCCCTATTGTGTCCACAATCTCTCTCATTCTTTTAGCTGCCCTTGTTGTGCAGACGAGGTTCCTGTCTCCCGCGGCAGGCCATAGCTCAGACAACAGTAGTGGCTTCTCTGCTTCAAGCTCGATCTGACGGTTAATTGCTGGATGATATGAGGGCATGCACCTGAGATCCCGTGCGTGAGAGAGATCGGACACAAATGCCAACAATAAAGTGCAATCGACGTTCAAGGTTGACGTCATCGGTGGGAAAGGGCTCGGAAGAAGAGATGAAAACACGGAGCCTGCATCATCAGTGTTGTTGACAGATCCGCTCCTATTTACCATGAAGTCAAGGCCAGAGGTCTCGGCAGTAGCGCATTCGACAGTAACGCCAACCATACGGACTTTACGAATAACCTTATCAATTTCCGCAATTTGTCCTTCCACGATTTTCGGCAGGACCAGCCTGACACGGGGATGCTTATACCTGACCCGGACCTCCGCGGCAGCTTTCTTCATGTCAACTGCCAGCTTTAGCAATTCAATCATGTCATCTTCATCTTCACTATCATAGTCGTTCTTGCCAGATGTCGATGCGGTATTACTCCCTTCATTATCCTCTGAGTCTGAATTTAATCCGATCTCCCATCCCTGTTTTGCAAGGTCAAATAGCAGCCTATTCGGTGTGACAGTGGATACTTTAACCCACTCCTGGCCATTATCAGCTACAATGTCAATCAAAACACCTCGCTTGCGCATTTTAGGAACCGTTTCTTCCACCCCTGGCTTGGAGTTGGATTTAATTTTTAGATCATCAATGTCCACTTCTAGATCTTTATAACCCCCCTGCATACATTGACCTTTCATAGGTTTGTAGAAGTAAAACTTCTTGTTGAGAGATATAAGCCCGGTACAGGTTGTCTTTGCAGTTCTCCAAACGTTGGCGTAAAATGGGAAATTAGACGACCGCAATGAATGCACCACTTTTAATTCAGCTTGGCCTAGATATTCTCCATCGCTCTCCTCGACGTCCTTTTCGTGACCCCTGTTTTGCTCTTGTGCCCTAATATTCGCCGTATACTGCGGAGTTCCAGCGGCGTCCTCCGCGTCTTCGGCAGCAGCCTCGTCCGCCCTTGCAGCCAGTCTCTGCAGTGATTTCAGCTCTGACTGAACGATGGATTTGAATTGCCGTAGCTCAACCAGATTTGGCTTCCCTAGAGTCACAAGGTATGACTGAAATGCGGAGATCTCAGAAAGTAATTTGTTGCATTCTTCAAGCAAAGATGATGCCAATTCCTGACTGGTTTGCGTACGATTTTTCGGGGGCGGTTTCAAGGCTGTCAAAGTATTCTCCATACTAACAATGACAATAATAATGCCAAAGATATGTATATATATACAAAGAAAGTGGAAGGGAGAAAAACTAGAAGCGGTTCCTGCAAGGAGGGAGAGATATCAGGAACTGATTGCGAGGTAAATAGATGCCTGTCTCGCTTCCCATGGAATCCTTTTCCATAGTCACGTGGTGATAAGAATGGATCAATAAGTGGGTCAATGTTTGAAGATAACGAACATGCGAGCAGAGCCTCCTTAGTTATATATCTTAAATTATGATGGTACAAAACGAACAAAAGGAAACAATAAGGGAAACGCAAAGATGATACGCAAATAAGAGATGCAGCCTAGTAATTGAAATACAAGAAGGAAAGTAGGAAATCAGGGGACTCGTAGGGGATAAAAGGTAAGAACAAAATACCTCCCTAGATTATCTCCCAAAGTACCGTGGCATCGTACATTGGTATTAAAAAAATACTTAGATACTGCTTTAAGTATCCTGTTAGTCATCTTTGCGTATCAGCTTCTTCCTATCAGTTGAGTTCCTCGGAGACACGTCGTCATCAGACCATCTATCCATGTCCTCTCCAACGGCGAATATAGTCTCACCATCCAGGGAATGGCGAGCTTGAGAGCCGGTATTTGCCTTTGTACCGGCAGGAGACCTGCTGGTGCCACGCCCGCTTGGATTCTCAACAGCATCTTCCTCATCCAACGAGCTGGTAACGGAGCGGATTTCAAAGCCGTCATCGTCTTGGGCAAGCTGTAGAGAACATTAGCAGACGACGCAAATTAGGATGGGTATATAAACTTACCTCGTCACTCATAGCGAACCGTTTATTGTTGGCAGTGGGCCTCCATAGGTATGATATGTATGCTATGTTGAACAGATAGACAATGTTAAGCCAGCCATCCAAAACAAACCATCTGCTCTTCCACTGGGCAGGAATCAAATCAGACACATTTGTGCTGGCAAAAACAAACGAGTTGATGAAGAAGAATGCAAAGATAACGATTATGCTACCCAGAAGGCACCACCAAAGTTTCTTATACATCATTGCCTTCACATGTTGCTTCCTGCTGACGAGGTCCTTCATGGTAGCGCTCAGGGAGTTAAGGGTCCAGACGTAAAATGCGGTCAGTGAGCCTGCGAGCGGAAGAACAACTAAAAGGACCAGTGGGCCGGCGCTATCTGGAGTAATAGAGAGACTGGCGACAGAATAGATGACTCCAAAGACGAAGTGAGTAATGGCAAGAATACGGACGTAAATCATGGTTCGACCGAGGGATGGTTTCACAACTCCATAACCCATGCAGACAATGAGCAGTAGGAAAAACGAGAACGAGTTGCGTCCAGCGCTTAAGATAGACACAATTACCATTAGAACTTTGCAAACAGCATTCGCACCGTATCGGTTTTGGTAGTCTAGTTAAGTTAGTACTAATGGGTGCAATTGGAGATGGATTCGTGCATACCGTAGAAACCCCATGTGATAAGTTGCTCAACAACCAAGAATACGATAATGGCAGTGATGTAATTTTGTACAGGTACTGTTGACATAGTTAGAATAAGGTCAGGAAGAAAGGCAGAGCTTACTCACGGATATCATGACGGTGCTGGGCATAGAGGAATCCCCAGAATCTAGGCGAAATGTGTTAATAAGGGGCCGAAATTTGAACTTCGTGATAACCAGAAAAACATACACTCCCATCAGAGCATATAATATAGTTAATCCACCGTAAAATGCCAATTTCGGAACCTGCGTCGCGGGTAGTTCTCCGTAGGCGTTTCTGAAGGTCACAACTCCTTCGTATTCCATGTCCGTATAGGGATACGTAGTAACACAATAGAATCCAGTCTTCGATACTGGGTATTTTATTGGCTTGGGGTTGGTCATATTTATGGCAAGGGAAATGAGAGGGGACTTTGCTTTCTCGGTGGCGTTTGGTGCGAGGATAAAGGAGCCAATTTCCTTTTCGGTGCAGAGCTTCGCTTCAACACTCGGGGGCCCGCATATCAGCTTTTTTTGTATCTATTTTAGTTAGTTACGGGATCTAAGGTAGAACACAGCATTTATGATATAGGGGAGTTTTCTTTTGAACTGGATAGGAATACCGATCCGTCCTTCGCTGTCAAGTCACGTCCAATCAAAGATTCATCTTTCCATTCGAATATAGCCAAGCTCATAATCGGGTCCTTCTTGTCCTTAACGGCCTCCATCTTCAACAAGATGAACGGGTTGATATCGCCGCCCCAAGATTTTTTCCCGTACATCCCAGAGCATTGTTGGCGATTGACATTGTCCTGTGTCTGAGGATGGAATCGTTAGCTCGATGATTAATTTGATAACAGGGCCATTCTCATATGGCTGCATTGATGTCTAACCAGTTTAACATCATTTGCAAACACGCCAGTTGCAAGTAAGGCACCGAGCCAAAAGGCGCTCTGCTGCCACCGCATGATTCCGGCTCACGATGCTCTCGATTAATTTCCAGCAGCAATGGTCAGAAAAATGCCCTTGAACCCGTCAAGGGCTTGGATATATCGAATATAAGTCAGGCAAGATAATCTCCTGTCCTTGACACAATGCTCATCATGCGACGCGCGATGGTAGGCTCAGTTGGAACGTCAAATGCTGAAGCCTTTCGAAGGTGTCAACTTTTAAAGCTTTAAACGTTGCGATGGTTTGGGCAAAAGGAGTATGACGTAAGCAGGGACCTCGGAATAACACTCATAGTTTGAACTCTAAAAGTTTTTTGATAGACGATGACATTTCTTCGGCAAGACGTTGAAGATAGAGCAGCTTTTTATTATTTTTATAAAAGCACTCTTAAGGGCTAACATGGATAGTTGCGTTGACTGCAAGAGGGAGCCAGCGTGTCTGGCTACTCGAAAACGCCACCTATGCCGGTAAGTGTTCAACTACACCTTCAATGGGCTCGCGGGGTGATAGCTAACTTGCGTCACTATCTCACGGTGAAAAAGGGAATGTTTTATTAAATTTATTCATACAAAGGCTCGGAAAAGAATGGATAAATATAAGGACGGGCCAAAGGACAAGACGCCGACCCTTCTTTTACCGTTGTCGTTTGGAGTCTCGTCACTATCGCTGCTTCATTTACTCGACGACCAACTCGCACACCAGCGAGGGAACGAATATAAGCGAGTCCCCTACAAGCTCCATATCCTCTCTGTGCAGTCGCCTACCTTGGATGCGCCCGAGGGGTCAGATACCACTAGGCTAGGGCTTTTGAGGTCTGCCTTTCCGGAGCACACTTTTACGGAGATTCCTTTCCATTCTATTTTCCGGTACGACAAGAATGTGGCAGAGTTCATGCTGCAACATTCTACTGGTAGTGAGATAAATAATACATCAGTATCAGACGAGGATCGGCTTGAGGCATTCCGTTCTTCACTTTCCACAATGACCTCTCGAGCGGACTTTGATGGTGTACTGCTGAGAAAGTTGGTTGTTGCCTTTGCCAACTCTGAAGGCTGTGATGGTGTCCTCTGGGGTGATTCAGACACTCGGCTTGCGGCAAAAACACTAGCAGGAGTTGCAAATGGTAGGGGAACTGCCTTGCCTTGGGAAGTATGTGACGGCCCTACTCCGTGGGGAGTGCATTTCACATTTCCTGTCAGAGATATTTTCAAGTCGGAGCTAGTACAGTATGCGTCTGCTCGGTTCCCTGATCTGCTCTCAAAGATAGGGTCAAAGGAACCCAAAATTCTCAATGAACAGGCAACAAAGAACATGTCTATCAGTGACTTGATGACGCAGTACGTTGAACAGCAGGGGGAGAAATACCCGGGTGTCATGGCGAACATTGTGCGGACAATCGATAAGCTACAGCCGTCGCCATTACATTCCGGGCTACAATGTGTTTACTGTGGAGTACCCTTAGAATCGGCACAGATGGATCCCGCGACTCTCAGCATACTTGAAGAGCGCGATCTCACAAGTGATAAGGACGTGAACAGCAAACCTACCTGTTATGGCTGTGCAAGGACCTTTCTTGATTTCAAACTCCCAACTCCTGCATCCAATAGCTGAAATTGACACATAGCACAGGGTTATGATGTGAATTTTTGGCTACCAGAATCGCAGGGAACGCGCCCTAAGGGCAGGCCCGTATGCACTGGAGTGATAAAAGGAGGCATAGCCCCAATGACCTTGATTAAGCACTAAGCTGAGGTCTTAAATTGCGTGTCTAATCACGAGGAAACCTATGGGTAGAGTGCTTAATCCAAGCTCTCCTGCCTAATAAAAGCAACTTTCATCAAAATGAAACAAATTAAAGGTTGTATAGGTGGTATCTCAAAATAAAGAAGGGCAATGCTTGCGAAAAGAAAAAAAAAAGCCCAAAAAGGAACAGAATATACCGCGGCAAAACTGAGCGCAAGAAAAGTTTCTCTCTATCGACGATGGGACCGTGATGTGTTTGATCGCCGGTTCTCCTTAGGCAACCTTGCAGGCGAAGGTCTCTGAGGTTCATCATGATGCATTGTTGGCTCGGTGTTGTTGCGACGCATTGACGGTCTTCGGCCACCTGAAGTAACGACCGTTCGGTTTCCCTCTTCCAGCCGTGCCAAGTTATTTTGTCCCTTTTCTTTCAGATAGCTCTCCAACAATACAGCATTTCGGGTATTGCATTTATACAGAGCGTCTAGGAGGTCACCGAGAAAGGGGATTAATCCAACAACGAAATCAAAAAAGACATTGAACACCATTTGCAATTGAAGGTTTGTAGGAAGGCCGCCCTCGACCTGTCTGCATGTCATGACGACCATCAGGGCAAAGAGGGCATCGACAACGTCTCCGAATCTAGATTGACAATCACAACGTCAGCAATGTATTAGGAAAAAGAGGAATAAGGGGGGGCCCATCCTTACGCAGGTACGAGACCGATCACACTTCCCCATCCAAACCGTATGCCGCAAAAGTTGCATAGAGAGAGGTCCAGTCTGTATGCGCGTCTTTTGACTTTTGTGAGTATCTTTGCATCATGAGCGGATATGCCTTCGGGGGCAGCTCTGCGGCGCTTTTTCATCTTCTGCTGCCCAAACATGTTTGTAGCTGGGACGCTTTCGAAGTAAGGATCCTATGGTGAAGAAAGGTCTCTGGTTAGCATATCTGCACTCCATGGTTAGACAGCGAACGAATGAAGCCAACTTACCTCCTTGCCAAAGTGGTTTTCAGCAGACTCTTTCAGCACCTTCTTCGACAGTGCTCCGATGATATAGGATGCCATGGTGACTGAATTCTGATGCTGGAAGCGGAAAGGGGGTCACGATTGGTAGAATACGGCACTTCTGAGACCGCAATGAGAAGATATAAAGGGCGAGATTAAATCGGGGGAAAGGGAATATGTACGTGAAATAGAAATAAAAGAATAGGAATACACGAAATGAAAGGAAATAAGTCAACGAGCGATCTGAGTATAATGGCACGGTCTTTGTGACTGCTTTCAGCGGCTAGCTTGGTGAATGCGATCGGTCAATCCCTTCGTTAGCGCCCCTTGATCAGCATCCAGAGCAATCAGCGCGAAGAATGGGACATCTCGACGCTCAGAGAGGAGCTGTATAAATATATGCCACCCGCACCATGGGGCAGTGTCAGAGAACTTGGATGCGGAGGCCCCGGCGAGCAATCCTATTGACCCATCCCGCTTGCAAGGGCCTTCTCCCGGGCGGCAAAGACGCAACCTTTGAAGAAAGCGAAGTGGACCCGACGGACCAACGTCATACCGCTTGGGTGACTAAGCAGCCGCCTATTACATAACACTTCTCACCAGCCACAGCTGTGGCTCAGCAGACTGAGGCGCATGCTGTAATTACATAAGCAGGGCATTTTAACGGCGACGTCCAACATTCAAGGACGACCTCAGGCACCAGCGGACGGGAAAGACCGAAGACGAGGCAAATAGACAGAAGCAGTCGAGCATTTTCGCGGTGGCATCTGTTTTGTATCGAGCAAGCGCACACTCCTATTTCGCTGTCTTTGCGCAAGTGAATACGTTATTCTGACGAGCCCGGGTTTCACTTGTAGCTGACTGGCTCGCAAGCTCGAACAGCTCAGCAACCTCCAGCTCCAAGTCCGGACTTTACACCCACACTATCACAGTTTGCACACTCGGGAATGCATTATTGCCCCAAGAACCATGACAGAAATCAATATGCGACTAGAGGACTGTAAGGAATGCTGCCAAACGGATGTTCAGAGTTCGTGGATGTCAAACTGATACATTTATCTAACAGGGCTGGATGACCTCTGCGTTCGATTCATTGTAAACCTCCCAAGGGAAGAACTCGAATCCGTTGAGCGAATATGTTTCCAGGTCGAGGAGGCTCAGTGGTTTTACGAGGACTTTATCCGGCCACTCGACCCAAACCTGCCGTCCCTCAAACTCCGCGAGTTTGCCCTGCGCATCTTTCAACATTGCCCTCTCATGTCGCAGTGGTCCCATTATCACCATTCAACCGCATTCTCAGAGTTCCTGGCATACAAGACGAGAGTCCCTGTACGTGGGGCTATCCTTCTCAACCAAGAAATGGACGAGGTCGTGCTTGTCAAAGGCTGGAAGAAAGGTGCAACCTGGTCGTTTCCTCGTGGTAAAATAAATAAGGAAGAAAAGGATCTGGATTGCGCTGTCAGAGAGGTTTACGAAGAAACTGGCTTTGATATAAGAGCTTCTGGCCTAATAAAGGACGAAAAGAACGTCAAATATATCGAGATACCAATGCGTGAGCAGAATATGCGACTCTACGTACTACGAGGAGTACCCAAGGATACCCACTTCGAGCCCAGGACGAGAAAGGAAATCAGCAAAATAGAATGGTATAAGCTCTCCGATCTTCCAACGTTGAAAAAGAACAAGCAGCATGAAAATGTACCTTATCAAAACAACAATAGGTTCTACATGGTTGCAACCTTTCTTGGCCCTCTCAAGAAGTGGATTGCCAAACAGAGGAAGCTGGACCAGGCCCGAATCTCGCATCCTCATATAGCCATTCAAGAGGAGATGGGCGGGGCGATAATAACTGAAGATGAAGGAACTGAAGACCACCAAGATATAACGGAGGAATATCCGGCCCATCCCGCTCCGACAATGCCAATTCTACCACCTGTTCATTCAGACTTACCTGAGGTATCCACGCCACTTGATCCGACGGTCCATTTGAAGCGCTTGCTTAACATTGGATCAGCGGCTTCTACCGCCCCTACCAAGCAACCCGACTCTGACCGACAACGTGAACAACAACACCAACATGTTTCGAATATTGATAAAGGAAATGCGCTTCTACAGTTACTTAGGAATGGATCTGAAACCCACCCCCCTGAAAATCCACCTCTTGCGCCTATACCAGTACATCCTAGCAGAGCACTTCCAACCATACATTCGCAGCAAACAACACCACAGCCAACTCCTGGTCAAGCCTTTGCTCCTCCCATAACACAATTTGGTACCGGAAACCAGTACCCACAACATCCGCAAAACCGAATAAGCAATCAACCGCCATGTGCCTATCCAGAACAGAAATCTGCTGCTCAACCCCGGCATGAATATGTAGGGCAGGCTCCTCACCAAATGCCCCATGAGCCAGCTAAGCCGCCGTTCACTGCTTATCCACCACCGTTGCGCCAAATTGGCACACAGCCGCCAATTTCCAGCGCTCAGCATGGAACTCCGCCTTACCACCGTACTGGAGATCCTCAGTTTGCTTCAAACAACCAAAAATTGCAAACAATCCTGCCCTCCGTGCCTCCTGCAAATGCGTTGCCTTTACCAAAACTTAACAGCCACTCTCTTGCATTGCTTAGTGTTTTCAAAGGTGATGGCGTTAAGAACACTGCAGCTATGCCAGGCTCCATACCCGCATCCCCAGTTGAACCATTTCCACAAAATGATGCAAAATCTCAGCACAAAAACCAACTTCTGAGAATGTTAAAGCAGCCGAGCGGCTCGCATCTTCACAATGGTGGTGGTTTGCACCCACCGGGCCGTGTTGAGCTTGCGACTCAGAATAGCCCGAGGATCCAGGAGCAAACAGGGATGCATCCTCCCGGGCTATCTCTAGACAGTCAAACTAAGGCGCCAGTAATTTTGCAAAATCCACATCGACCCAGGACCCCTTCTCAACCTACTGTAGGGAAGACAGCAGCCACGCTATCCGCACCCTTGAATCTGCCTAATTTTGAGGGGATTGCCAAGTCACCACGCAGTCCACGCAGGGAGAAGAAACATATTCCCTCTCAGTCATCAGCGATGAAGTCAAATATCAAAATACTTCCTCGCCCAACATCAAATAACAATGAGGGCGTACCGGTGGCAGTGAAGGCCAATACCCTTTCTCCAGCTCCTAGACCTAACGTCAAGCTTTCAGAAATGACCAAACCATTTAAGCCCAAGATTCTCCGTCGCCCAGACAAGGATAATCTTGATGAGTACCTTCCTACTTCCACGGTTACCGTGAGCGCTTTCTCAAAGCCTGAGCCACCACCGGTTAGCGATGATGAAGTGGTGCAGAAGACCCTACCGCAACCACAGTTTGATCAACGACCAAGTCAGTCGGCTGCACAGAAAGAAACACTTCTTTCTCTCTTCAACAAAGATCTTCCACCTCCATCCACCGGTATAAAGCGGGATATAACAAGGCAGGCTAAATCTCCAGCCCTGGTTTCTCCTCCTTTCTCAACCCTTATAAGCCCTGTTACCGATCCCCTCAACAGCCCGAGAGAAGCTACCAGGGGAGGTGGTTCTGAGAGACGGAGCGGTGCGGCGTCTCCCTCTAACCAGGCATTTTTAATTGGATATCTAGAGGATGTTGCTACGGGCAAGAAATAGATACGAGATGTAACAAAATTCGTTCAGTGGTTTGTTCACTCTTATGTTTGTCCTTATACAACATCTCGTGCGGAATGAATAACCTGGCTGGCCACTCTTCCCTTTTAATATCAGGATAAAGATAAATATGCCATGGTTATGGAACATGGGCCGCGTGAGGTCATTAAAAGCACTAGATAGGTCTGCCGTGCTGTATAACAAAGCTCCGAGCCATGGTTAAAATTAAGCGTTGGTGGCTAAATACAAGTTGGGACCATTGCGCAAGCTATTCTTATGAAATTTAGCATTCAACGCCCATCACACTACACTCTATTTAAGCGCAGAGAAGCCATTTCTAGAGGATGGAGCTATCAATTTCTTGTACGAGGACTTTCAACGTGATGATAGCAGAGTGGCACAATCACCTTATACATACGTAGCGTGAGAGAGGTTTATTTCGCTCAGTGAGTTTATGTGCCTGAGCGGCATAATTGCCCCTGATAAACAGGCCATATCCCTGAACTGGGAATGGACACATGGAAAGGAACAAGAACTGTAATATACAGTCGATTCCGCCCCGTTGATCCTCCCAGTTTATTTAGATGGCGGAGACTGATTATCAGCAATCAATAGCATACTTTGCCACATGATAGCCATCCCTTTCGAGTATTGATCCGACGATATATCGTATATACGGAAGTACTTAAAAGCAGTCGTTAAACCTGCCCTCTCTATATATCTATAAATACCTCCCTCATTGCATGCCAATATCTCCGAGAGGGCTCTCCTGATAAACGGTTAGACTTCGCCAGCTCCTACAACAGCCCTCAACCTACAACATGAAGGCCTCATTATTTATCCTTTCGATACTTTCGATATTTGCTTGCCATGCAGCTGCTGATTGCTGCTATACCTCCCGTGACAATGTGAGAATGTTCCGAGGTCCTTACTCTCCTTTCAAATTCTTGTTCTCATTGGTTTTCAAATATAGATGTGCAAAGATGGAAAGCCAGGGAAACCATACTGCGGAGTCGGAGGTAACAAGTCTCCTTATTCCAGGAGAGGAGTTGATAAAGGACCTTTCTAACACATTGCTCATGGTAGATTGCAACTTCATAGGCTGTGATTGTCAAGGAGGATGTCGCTAGTTTGATGGGTATAACTAAAGCTGCCCAACGCTGGGCTGTTTGGTGGCTTCCTCCGGGGGTCTGTGAACACTTGATAATTTTCTGTGTTATTCTTGTTCTATATCTTCGAGATCTTATTTGGAATTCGCTCCAAGGGCCCTGGAGTTGTTTTGGAATTGTATCTTTAGGTGTTGTCGGATTCTGCTAGGGTAATGAGTTATTTAGTTGGCCGGAAAGACCACACAAGTTAACTAACTAATTGATCGGGACAATGCGAGTTTTGATTTGAATCAAGGCATTTCGGATGTACGTACTCCGTAAGGAATATTGTGTTATGATCTGACCATTTTCTTGATAATTAACTAGACAAATGGATCCTACTCATTTCTCTCGTTTATAAATATATTGAAGCAGGTCGTAGTTTTGTTTGATTAATATCAAGGTCTGCCACTACACCAAAAGTAGTAAGCCACAGTAATGGTAGGCAGAGCTGAATTTTTTTTGACAAGTAACTAACTATTAACTAGTTAACTAGTTACATATAGTTATTGCTGTTTTTAGGTTAGTTAGTTAACGAAGATCGATAAGATCTTGGTGAATGAAAACCGACAACAACTTCGGTATCTAGAGATAGTTATCCAAACCAACACCCGTCAATAGCGAGCTGCAATGGTGCAAGGCCTTACTTCAAGCCCGATTTGTGGGCGATGTCTGTTACGCACTCGTCGTCAGCTGTCAAGAAACCGGATATACTCCCAAATACGCCACAATCACACGAACCCTCCAGCACCACCTCCGTCGGGCTACTCGCATCTAAACAATCGATCTCTCATTTCCATCTCTGGGATTGATAGTACAAGCTTCCTTCAGGGCTTGATAACACGAAACCTTTCGGTTCCGAAGAATTCTCCCCCGGTTACCTCTCCATTCTATGCGGCCTTCCTTAACTCCCAGGGAAGAATCCTGAACGATGTCTTCATATACCCGTTCGAAACTGCCAGTTCCCCTACAGGCGAAATGGAATATCTGATTGAATTGGACAAGGAGGCCTCTGAAGGCCTGCTTAAGCATTTTAGAAGGCACAAACTTCGCTCAAAATTGAAGTTTCGGGCGCTTGATGACGGAGAGCGAAGTGTTTGGTCGATTTGGGACGATGGAAACACGTCTGCTTGGCACGAGAATGAGGCCTTCAAAGAAAACAACGCCATTGTATGCCCTGATGGTCGAGCACCCGGCATGGGATACAGAGTCATTGCCAGTGGAGGTAAATTACCCTCACGGATCACAGAAGCCTTTCCAGGTGATGAATCCTCGATCGAGGCCTATACGCTACGCCGAATGTTACAAGGGGTGGGAGAGGGGCAGATTGAGATGCCTCGAGAGTCTGCCTTACCCATGGATAGCAATATTGATATCATGAATGGTATTGACTTCCGTAAGGGTTGCTATGTTGGCCAAGAATTAACCATTCGGACGCACCATCGGGGTGTAGTACGCAAGAGAATTCTGCCCGTTCAGCTTTATGAATCTACCAAAACACTGCCCACTTCAGATATGCCAGTTTATGATCCAGACACGAGTATAACACCGCCGCCTTCTGGGGTTGAGGCTAATATTTCGAAAGTTGGAGCTAGCAAGGGCAGAAGTGCGGGAAAATTCCTGAACGGTATCGGAAATATTGGACTGGCCGTATGTCGTTTGGAGATTATGACGGATATTGCTTTAACCGGTGAATCTACACAGTATGATGCTAACCAGGAGTTTAAAATAACCTGGGATTCTACTGAAGTGGGCGGCGCAAATATTGCAGATCAACCCAAGGTAAAGGCATTTGTTCCTCCTTGGATTAAGGAATATATTCTTAGTGGTGGTGCACGACATCGTCAACCAAAGGCATAAACAAAGCTGGACGTGGAAGGGATGGACGTTGGTATGTGAACATCAGGTATGGGACACAAATACCAACTAAGTACCTCGAGTGGTTTTGTAAGAGCTGTGTATAATTTAGCGCCTGGGTAAGGTTGAATCCTCGTACTCTGTATAATAGGAAGTAGAAAGCAGAAAAACTACTAAAATATAGAAGATTGAGATTATCCTTTCTGTATATTGCAGGAGCGGGAAAGTTGTTTGGGATCTGTTTTACGTTATAATATATACATATAATCGCTGAAGGCAGTGGCGTGCTGATTTAAGCAATGGGTAATGAAACCGAGGTAGAGTATAATTGCCAATTACCCTTTGGGTAATGATAGTAATAGGTATATAATTTCGTGAAGGGATATTGAACTACAAAATGAAGTGGCTTGAGCATTATGCTAACACCTGCTTCGCTTCATTTTCTCTCCAGGCATTGGCACCTTAGAAGGGAGTCCCAGCCAAGAAGTGTCCATACTTCTTGAGTAAACCATTCTCCTGGGGATTCTTGGGGATTGATGGACGGCTCCGGGCAGATGATTCCGGAAGACGTCTCAGGGGGGAAATTCAACGAAGCCCCGAGCGATATATCATCAGCACCAAATACACCTTTGAGAAGGGTGTTTTGAAGCTTTGCTTTAGCATCTGAGGCTAAGCTATTTTCTCGTCCACAGTCAATTGGTTCTGCTGCTACTTTGGTCGTTTTCTGGTGCTGATCCATATATAAAATCGCTAGCTTTAGAAGCCGTATTAAATGTTTCGAGTTCCAGACTGCAGCTAGCTCTGCGATATCAGGTGTAGGGACTCTTATATCATTATAAGCAGTTGTTAGGTATGCAGGAACGGTTAATTTGAGCTTAGGGGTCATTGGCTCTGTAAGGGGCGACAGGTCTTTGAAAGTGAAGAAACCGAGTACCATCCCAACATGCTCCAGGATCACAAAGGCGAAACCTTCCAGTAAATCTTTGTGCTCAGGTTTTGCCGTATCTAAAGACCCAAACATGGTACATGCCATGTTAGCGAAACAGCCAAGTATATTCTCGACCTTTGGAGCAGGTTTGATGCAAGGTTTCTTCTTTTTCTTGTTGGATCTGGCTTTTGATTTCTCACAAGATTGTGCTGCTGACTTTTCGTATGTGCCCTCAGGGCTTGCCTTTAGAAGTGCATACTGATATGACTGCTGCATTATTCGCTGGAATAATTTGGCGACGTGGTAGACAATGGATTTGGTGCTTATGCCCGCATCATGTAGACCTGATGTTCTGCCTAACCCTTGTAAGATAGACGGGAATATCACATCGAGAATTTTGGAGATGTCTTGTATGGGAAACTTAGTAATTTGTCTGCCTCCCTTTGCTGGTGGCTTTTGAGATATTTCTTGCCTTACAGCCGTGAGCAAAGCTGTTTCCAAGGCCCTGCATACGGATTCTATGGCCAGCGCCATAGACTCGGGATTTGTTTTCTTTCGAAGTAGAGCCTGCAAGGTGTGGAAAGGTCGCATTAATTGTGCAGTGACTAAATTAGATTAGTACAATGTTACGGCAAAAACGATGTCGGGTACCCGTACTGCCTTCACAAAATTCAAGGTTGCTAAAGCGGTAGTTTGGGTGTATCTTATTAGACGACAGGGCATATGCCTGTGATTCGATGCTCACTGTTTTTGCTCTCTTCTTCGGATGGGTTGACGACGATGGTTTGGGATTAGCCTGGGCCACGCTTTGCTTCTCTACACTGACGGATGCATCCCATTTATCTCGTAACAGACGGGCTTCATTGCGCTGCTCTAATTCATATATCCTGTCTAAAAGTTTGCTTTGCGCAGCTTCCGATTTCTCATATGCCTCGCGCCAGAATCTTGTGCTGTCAAGGTGAGATTCTACGCAGGCAGGCTCAGGCCAGAGTCTTTTCCCGGCAGCGATGTAGGCTCTGAGATTCAATATATGATCTTTATAAACATATCTTGTTAGAAAAACCAGGAAGGTAGTGCATCCGTAAAGGTATGGCTAGCAGAGTCGAACCTCGGATGCTCGTGTCTTGGGGTTTTGACTTGACAACAGCCAGCGCAAGTGCTATTTGAAACTGCAGGGGACAGCTCTGGTTAACTGAATCCATGGATTCAGCCTTTATTCCACGAACCAGAGAGAGGAGGTACTGAACAAAGTGGCAGATGGATGTTGAATGTCAACAATTTGGCGAGAGAAAGTCGTCATATTAAAAAGCGCTGGAGTACACCGCCTTGCCGCATTGGGACGACTACCGGTGGCAGATTCACAGCTTTGACGCTGGAAAATAAAAATCATATAAAACGAGGTTTATATTGGCCGGTGAATATCATATCGGGCATTAAACACGGAACAGAAGGGTATAACTAAGGACAGTGAAAGCTCACATCCCCCATGCAAGTCCAAGGCTCTGGTTATGTTCGCGGTTGGTTTGTTATTATGCAGTGGGACCTACATTTGAAATAACTCAAACTCTAGCAATAACTAAGTATTAGAAAATTTCAGAATTTTGGAGATAATAATATCTTCATCCCCTCCTTCGTCCCCCGTCTCCATGGTCTGCGTCAAATATACGACACGTATTAGAGGTGGAATAAACGATTTCGATCACCAAAGTTAGATCCGAGAAACAATGACTAAGCAAACTCTATGCTAGTTAGTTTTAGTTGGTTACGATTGAGGCTCTGCTGAAAGACGGCTTTCTTCGAGATCCAAATATTTCCAACCACAACCAAAACGCAAGAGCTGACTGCGCACGTTATAAGCGTACTTCAAGCTTTCACAAGTTTTAGCCGACATCATGGCTCCATCTGACGATCTAAAGTCGCACGCTGCGTCCTCTCACGACTTTTATGGCCTATTGGGTCTCAACCCTACCGCCGTCGACAGCGAAATCAGACGAGCTTACCGAAGGACTGCTCTCAAATACCATCCTGATAAGATAGCAAATCCCACACCGGCAGATATTGAAAAATTCCATCTCCTCCAAATCGCATATGATGTTCTTTCTGAACCTCCTGTCCGACAGCTATACGACAATGCAAGGGAAGCTCGAGAACGGAAGAAGAGGGAGAATGAGTTACTCGAAGGAGCACGGAGGAAGATGAAGGAGGACCTGGAGGCAAGAGAACGAGGGGTTAAACGGCCGTGGGGTTTTACTGGATCCAGCGGAGTTCATGACGATTTACAAGCTGCAGATGATAAACTGGAACAGGAGATCAGGCGGCTTGCAGAAGACGGGAAGAGAAGACGACGGGAAAAGGAGGAACGCATGCGGAGCCAAGTGTTAGAAGAGGAGGAGAGGTTAGAAAGAGAAAAAGAGGAACTAGAGGCCAAAAAGCAAGGAACGCCTAAGAATGGTGCGACCCCTATCAACGCAGGCGGAACAACTGTGCCAGAGATAGATCGAACTGTAAAAGTTCGGTGGATAAGAGAGGGAGTCGGTCTTGATATGGATAAAGCCAAACTAGAGTCATTATTTTCGACGTTCGGGAAAGTGGAGAGCACCTTCACGTTGAAGGACAAGAGACAACGGGTGGGTGACCAGCGAGAGAAGAAAACTGTTGCTACTGGCGTTGTTGTCTATTCCTCAGTAGTTGGTGCTCATGCAGCTGTTGAAGATCGATTCAAACATAAAGGTGACGCATGGGAGGTCATCGAATCTGTCGCTTGGGCATCAAACAAACAGCCGGATTGGGATGCCTACAGAGCTTCTTCTCCTGTGACGACAGATATGCACAGCAAGGCAGAAGCGTCAGCCGGCGCAGCTGCTTCTAAACCTGATAATTTACATCCCTCATCACCCAACAGGCCGAAGCGATTCACCATGGCCGACTTAGACCCACTAAAGGAGAAGTCGGAAGATGCCAACAAAGTTGGGAAAGCTCCTTCATTTGGATCCTTCTCATCTGCAAACGCTAGGGGGGGCTTTGGTGCAAGTGGCCCAAGTCTAGAGGAGCTCACTTTGATCCGGTTAAAAAATGCTGAGAGAAAGAGACTCGAGGAACAAATCCAAAAAGAGGACGAGGCAGCTGCCCTCGCTGATGCCAAGTCAGCGCAATGATATGACATATTACATTTGACAAGCTGTATTGTACATGACTGATTTTATTCTGCGATGATACCCATTTCTTTTAGTTATTATGATAGAATAGACAGCCTTGAAAATGACTGACGGATTCAACAATGTAAACTGATGACATTGATCCGTTGAAAGTAACGCCTGCGTGATGCATAGAGTTTAAGGCCATATATGATGGTTTACCAAAGGGAATGTCCTTTCCACCAAACTGCCCATACAACTGGGAGAGCCAGACCCAACACAGAAAACCCAGCAGTCATCTCCACAACTGCCCATACCCATAAGGTGCCGAGGGCCGGAGTCTTCTTCATTGCTGCATAGTAAGACGCCTCATTCGCCATAGCGATTAACCTCGATCCCAAGAAGACGGAAAATGTTAGAAAGATGATATTGTGAGCTGTTGGCGGGAATAAAACAAGTATCAGAGATTTTCTTGTTGCGAGTTGTCCAGAGGTCTCATTCGCAGTTTTCTTTCCTGGCCCAGGATACAATGAAAACAATGATATCTTGGGGAAAGTGACCATGTGTCCGTGGACGAAATGTATAAGGAGGGTCATAACTGGAAAGGCCACGACCAAGGTTTCGAAAATTATCCTATCAAATTCGATTTCCTGGGCGAACTGGTGCGCGGCAAGGAATGATAAAGTAAAGTGAATACAGGAGAGTGTCAGGGAAAGGAATATGGTATCTGCCAGTGGCGGTAGTGACTCGGAGTTTTCTGACTCTGCTTTTGCGGGTGCGATCTCCGGTGTACCTGGGAGCGGGGAGTGAACAATTTCGCCGTCCGCGTTCATATGGACGTATTGCATTTTGGGCGGAGTTTTCCCATCATTGGACGATTTTTGCCTGTGCTGCGATGTCAGTAGCTCTGCCTGGCGCTCCGCAGCAATTTCATATAATGTCTTATGGCCTGGAGACGCCTTTTTGTTGTTGTCAACAGCGGCAAGGGGTATTGATGGACCATCAGAAGGCTTTTTATTCTGACGTCGGGTAGCCATATTGAATAAAAGTAACGACAAAAGCGTAAATTATTAGAAAATAAATTATGGAGTGACTTATTGTTTTATAAGGATCATACCAAAGATGCTGCCCGGTGTATTGTGTCGATATCGAGGTAATACCAAGAGAAAAGGCGAAGTTGGAGGTTAAAAATACGATTACATAACACATAAAGCACGGGATTGAATCCACGTGATATGCAGATGGGGAAATTAAGTTCAAATGACGGGAGCTAGAATTAATAAGGTTAAGTCTTGCTAATATTCCATGACTAATTATACACGTGACTGGATTTATTCACTTACATAATCATCCGAAAATGGGATTCCGTCAAACTTCGCACGGCAGAAATGACGAAAATTCCTGTACGGCGTACGGAGTACATTATTGAAAATAAACTTATCTAACCTCAAGCTGGCCGCCGGGGATCGTGCAGGTGCATGAAGAGAGGAGACGGCAAGGGATTGCATGCTGCAAGGGCTTCCGGTAACCGAACTAGGTTTATAAGATCTGCTCTTTTTAACTAACAGCTTACAGTTAGCGCTTCATCGTCACCCCTATTCCTTTTCACAAAAATAGATACAACCACCAGGTTAATGACACGTTACATCTTTGCGCCCACCCTTGTTGCTATTAAGCCGCCGCTACGGCGCTTCTCCTACGCATGAGGATCGCGTGGGAAGTTTTTCTTTGCGAGTAATCGTTCCCTTTTGAGTGTGGTTGTGCAGTGTTACTGCAATGCAGTATTGGGTGAAGCTACCCAGTTGAATGTGAGAAAGCTACCATTAACTATCTATGCTACGGAAATACATTTCTGCGATTTTACCGCATGCAATTGTCTCTTACTTCGGAAGCTACAACTGGAGACCCTTAACTTCATATGTCTACCACGAATTGTGCGTCAACTAATACTCTCCATTGAGCGTTTTAAATATCAAACATTACGGAACACAAGGCAGCCATGAACTCTGCGTTTACATTCCTTTCACTTGCCATATTTCCCCTGGCTCTGTTTATTTTCTGGACTCTGTCAGCAACGGGGCCGTCATCACCCCTTGGACGTGGATTTCCAACCCTAACCAATAAACGGATTTGTCTGCTGATCGCCCATCCGGATGATGAGGCTATGTTCTTTGCGCCGACCTTGTTAGCCCTTACAAAGCCTGAGCTGGGGAACCATGTTAAAATACTTTGTCTAAGCTCTGGTATGTGCGCTCTATTAATGGTCCTTGACTCAGCATCAGGATGGTTTCTAATTTATCAAATTACAGGGGACGCTGCTGGTCTGGGACATATTCGCAAACAGGAACTCCAGAAGAGCGCACTCCGGCTTGGCTTGCGCAACGAATCGGATGTTTTTATTGTAGATGATCCAAGCCGGTTCCCAGATAGCATGACTGCTACCTGGTCCGAAGAAAATGTTTCTGGCCTCCTTGCTTCTGCATTTGCCCCGCAACTCGCAGCTCAAGCATCGTCTCAATCTGCACCGATGGCCACTATCGATATACTTCTTACCTTTGATCAGTCAGGCGTTAGTTACCACCCGAACCACCGGTCCCTCTACCATGGGGCACGCGCATTCTTAAAGGCTTTAATGCGTGGAAATTCTGGTCATCCTTGCCCTGTCACCTTATATACCCTCACTTCAACAACTTTGGCAAGGAAATACATAGGCGTCTTTGATGCGCCAATAGCTATGTTAAGCGGTGTAATAAGTAATGCATTCGGAGGCTCTGGTGACAGGGACGCACTTTCAACATCACCGTCCAAAAAAACCCAGGAGTTAAGGGGGATCCGCGAACCACCTCCAGCAAACAGGTTACTTTTCGTCAATTCTGTAGACGATTGGCTTTCTGGATGGAAGGCAATGGTGTATGCACATAAGAGTCAGATGGTCTGGTTTCGATGGGGATGGATTACGGTAGGGAGATATATGGTAGTTAACGACTTGAAGAAAGAACTTGTATAAAGGGACCCTTGGTTTTATCTTATACCTGAATGCTTTATTTGGGAAAGCAGTCCAAACAGCTAATCTCTTTATTGGAGACTACCTCCTTAGGTAGTGAATTGAATTTCGTATATAGCTATCTAATTCTATTCTATGTATAATAATACCAACAAGTCGTGAGGAGAATATAGAGAATAATGTTCCTGGAAGAAAGTGATAGTGTATTCCGCTGTTATAAATGGCATGTATATCACAAAACAAGAAATACAAAAAGGGGATAATATACAGATCCATAAAGTTGGTATACAGTAGTGCTAAAAAAACTAAAAAAGTGGTATACAGAGCGTGCGAAGGGTGCAGCCAGTTCAACATGCACTGCAACGATGATGCACACTTTCAGTAATGAAGGGTTGCCCGAACTGGCCGATCGTCTCCCCAAAACTGTGCTGGGTCAAATTCAACCATTCCGTTCGTAATATGATAGCGCACAATGCGAGGTAAAAATATTTTCCATTCATTCACGGTATTTGGGAGCCCTCTTCTTTCCCAATCGTACTTGGTACCGGTCCAACGCCTTCGGAGGAGCATGAAAAGAGCCCAGGTCTGGAGATAATCAAGTTCTCGGCACGTGGCCATATGGACGACTTGAAATCGGTGGTATAAATCCCAGTAAGCCTTTGGGGCAGTGGGTGGAGGTGTGAGAGATAGGGGGTTGACACGACGTAGGCTGCTTGTCGCAGTCTGCTCTAGGTTAGAGCTGCTCTCACTAGAGGGACCGTTGTTTTCGTGTTCTAAATCCTTCCATGCTTGGATGAGCTGTTTCGCCAACACTCGCCTTTTAGATAGGGTCGTTTGAAACATTTTTCGCCCATCACGCATGAAGCCCTCGGTTGGATCTACCGCTTGGCGGCTCCAGTTTAACTTCGTCAGGATATCGTACACTTGTAGTGTAGGTTTCATGTTGTAAGGTTCTGAAGTCATCGTCTTAAAAATCCCAATCACGGAGTCTTTAGGAATGTGGCCGATCATATTGTCTTCTGCATTCCGTCCATATCTGTTGGTGGAAAGAATGTAGGACCACACAAATAGTTCCATCCAGGTACGTTGTGGTATCGGCACATTGTAATTCACGGAGATGAAGTCAACCAATTGTAGTGCAGTGGGGATATCGTTGTTCGTACAAAATATATGAGCCACGGCAAGTAAAAGTTCATCGGTAGGGTGTAAGGGAGAAGATGGGTGATAGGGAGTTACCGGGGGAAGATCTTCTTCTCCCTTTTGCAAACGGTCAGCATCAATGTTCCAGACGGTTTTCAGGGTATCCTTAACAGCTGCAATGTCCCATTCACGACCAGATGCTATCATCAATTGAATAAACGTGGACTCGTTGGCGTCCAGACCATCCACTACCATGTCTTTGAAGAGGCTGTGTACTTCATCACGCACGCCGTCCTTTCCCGTCTTGTACCCTCTATATCCCGGATTACTGCGTTTGAAGCGTCTTTTCCTGTATATCCAGGGTGTTGATCTCAACGAGTGGTTCTCCTTAGGAATGAAGGCCATGTTCCAGACTTTAGCCTCCATGTAGTAGTTATAACATAGGACATCCGGCGAAATCCCATCAGCGATCATTTCCTCCCATAAGGTATTAGCCATAGCCTCATCTCCCATGGAACGAGCGCAGTCTAGTAAATGAGTATACTCTGCAAGCCCTAGAGTATGTCCAGCACGACGCCGTGCTTCAACAATCGTTCCTAGATTTCTAGCAAACCTATCGAAGATTTGCGCGAGAGGCTCGACTTTGGTGTACTCTGCGGCAGAAGAATGGAAGCTCCGTTGGATTTTCCTCCATGGTTCAACGAAATATGCTGGAGATAACAACTGGAGAGCTTCTATGAAAGTGGTAGCAGGCAATTGACGCATGATATAGTCGTTATTTCCTGGATCAAGGAAGATAGCCATTACTTTGTCCGGCTGTCCTTCTAAAAGAACAGCACGGATATACTCTTCCCGTTTCCGAATAGCGTCCTGAGTTGAATCCTTCCTCTTAGAGCCAGGAGTCTCAATCTCCCAGGCATCTTTATCATTGATCGACGGCAAAGGGGTTTGATCAGTGTCAAATGAGTTATCCTGGGGCTCTGTCGACTGCACAGCAGAGTGCACGAATCTGGTGGTTATAAATTTCCATTTTGGTGTGCTGGATTTGCTGGACGGGCGTAATTTTCTAAGCGAAGGGCGGGAGGAGGTATGTATAGCTTGCAGCTGATTCCGTGAGGCCTGAGAGTGTTTAATGCTGGGTCCACGCGCGCCATTGAAGCCAACTATCCGCCAGCTACATGACGGGCATATGTACTGGGAGACGAGGTTCTCGCCTAGCAGAGTTGTGGCACGCATTAATTCACGACAACGCTTTCTCCATGAAAGTAGCGGGCAGAGGAGAGAACACAATGAGCAATCGGGGATTCGGTCTCCCAGGCAGGCGTGACGAGATCAATTGCTGGCGTGGAGCAGGCCAAAGACCAAAAGATACCAACAGCGAGGAGAAAATGCATGCGATGTTGAAGAGCTTTTTGAGTTGCCGCTTTTGGATTTTTGCTGGGAGCGGCGGCGCTAGTCCCTTTTAGGCCATAGCTCGTCCTGCTTATCTTTTTGTGCTTTTGCGGCCTCAAGCAGGAAGAACAACGAGAGAGACGAAGAAGACATCCAGTCTGCGCTTCGACTTGGGCATCCAGCGGCGCAGTTTACGGTTACGATGGCAGCAGTAGACGACGATGGAGCAGCTCCCTCCTTCTCGGAGCCGTTGGATCTGGTTCGCCTGTCGCTCGACGAGGTCGTGTTTGTGAAGTTGCGCGGGGACCGCGAGCTCAAGGGCCGGCTTCACGTACGTTCGATAGTCGATTGGATTATATTTCTATGATGAAGGAAAAAGCAGCAGCGGTACTGACATCATATTATTGTCCAGGCCTATGACAGTCATTGCAACATTGTTCTCGGCGACGTGGAGGAGACCATCTATATTGTTGAAGAAGATGAGGCCGGAGAAGAGACCATTAAGGTATATATCGAACCCACCGCTAGAGAAGGAACGGAATTAACTGTTTTTACAGACAATCAAGAAGCAAGAGGAAATGCTGTTCGTCAGGGGTACGTCGCGTTATTCCTTAATTTTCTTTTCTTTTTTTCTTTACTTCTCGACTCGTTTCTGATTGTATGACTACAATAGGTGACTCCGTTGTATTAATATCACCACAGTCTCCATCAAGTTGATAGGAGCGGAGATGGTGACAAATATCAGAAAGCAATGCGGACGACGGACGGCCGAGGACTCATGACTATGAAAATGAGCAATATCGGTTCTCACAGGGTCCGTGTTGGGACGGCCTACAGCTTCGAAGCCGTTAGTAACTCGTGGGTGAGACTATGTTCATATTCTCTAGAGTGGACGACCGGGGAAGCAGCCCCTGCATATGGCTCATTCATCCAAGGCGATCGGCCATTTACGACGAAAGGCATGGATAGTTAAAAGACATACAAATGAATAACGATATAATAGTTGACATCTAAACGTAAAGACGTGCCAAGTCGAAAGTCGGCGTCCTCTTTGGGGAGCCTCACTTTTTTTTTTGATGACTCAACCTTGAACTGATGACTCTCATGGCTCGACGTGCTGGCGCTTCCTACAACAGACAACTCGCATCTCATCACAATATAAATACTCAGCCATACACCCACGTCTCCCTAGTGGAATCGCTCACTCTTATATCATCTTTACTTCTTATAAACCATGTCTTTTTAACCCATAACTACTAGCCACCCCGTCCTTTACAGCGTTCACACGGCGAGAGAATGATCGTACGAATACGACAGACTTGAATCCACTTGCGCTTAGTCGCACATTATGATATCTTACGATAACTCCTTTATAATCGCGAGTTAAATACCATGACTCACGGAGGACAGCAGAAGTTGACAGCGGAGGAGAGGCGCAAACGGGAGCAGGCATGCATCATCCCCCTTTCATGCGCCTATACGGTTCCCTAGTGGGAATACAGTTTACCATATCGAGGCCAGCGTATCTAACATGTCTTCCCCGCCTAGTCTCTGAGCGAGTTTGCCGAGTATGTTGAGAAGCAGCAGGAAAAACGGTACCTTCGTAGCCAAAACCGAGATGGCTCCGTGGCCCCAAGCGACAGCGGCTATTCTACCACAGCCATATCTACCGCTCATGATGACCACTCTGAACTCGACATTCTTGACCAGCTTGGCTTGTCAGACCATCCCTCTAGTGTTCAGCTCAAAGACTTGCTCCTTGACAACTCCCCAGACGCAGAAAGCAATATTTCTCGGATAACCAGCGTCGTGAAGGGACGGCTAGAGGAGGGACAGGGCGAGACTATATTTGACCTTGGACAAGAAGACAACGGTGATTGGATGGGATTCAATAAGGAGCAGTGGAACTATGCCCTTGATCGTCTACGGCAGGCTGCTCGCGAGCTCCGGGCTGATTGTCGAGTCTTGCTGACATACAATGTTGGTGGTCCGGAGGAGGCTGAGACGAAGAGTGACCGCATAAAGTGTGCTTACGGAAAGGTGCTGATACGACAGGCTCCTGAGACGGTAGAGAAAGTCATTGAAACCCGAATTGCAGTTGTTGGCAATGTCGATGCTGGTAAAAGCACTCTGCTAGGTGTCCTGGTCAAAGGAAAACTCGACGATGGAAGAGGCAAGGCTCGAGTGAACTTATTTCGTCATAAACATGAGATTGAGACCGGGAGAACTAGCTCCGTCGGTATGGAGATTATGGGGTTTGATACCCATGGCGAGATTGTAGGCCACGGCCAGGCCCGAAAACAGACATGGGAGGAGATTGGGAGACAGTCTGCCAAGGTGATTTCGTTCAGTGATCTCGCCGGCCATGAGCGCTATCTACGGACTACTGTCTTTGGTATGCTCAGCAGCAGCCCAAATTACTGTCTACTGATGGTTGCCGCAAACAACGGACTTATTGGAATGAGCAAGGAGCACCTGGGAATTGCCCTATCACTCAACGTCCCCGTCATGGTAGTTATCACAAAGATAGATATCTGCCCTCCTCATATTCTTCAGCAGACAGTCAAACAGTTGACTGGAATTTTGAAGTCCCCGGGGGCTCATAAGATTCCAATCTTCATCAAATCCCGAGAGGATACCGTTAACACGGCTACGCAGTTTGTCAACCACAGGATATGTCCTATCTTCCAGGTATCTAATGTGACTGGAGAGTGCATTGACCTGGTACAGACGTTCCTCAATATGCTTCCACATCATGGCCGATATGACTCTGGCGCTCCCCTCGAATTCTTGGTGAATGATACCTTTTCTGTTCCTTTTGTAGGGACGGTAGTATCTGGTGTTGTGAAAGCTGGAGCTGTACATACAGGGGATGCGGTGCTTGTTGGGCCTGATTCACTTGGACAGTTCAAAAACACCGTCATCAAATCCATTGAGCGTAAACGAATCCATGTGCACGCCTGTTCAGCTGGGCAGTCCGCTTCTTTCGCTCTCAAGGGAGTTCGCAGAAAAGATGTAAGGAAAGGAATGGTTGTTCTACCTAAATTAGATCGTCCTCCAAAAGTCTATCGTGAATTTGTTGCCGAAGGTATGACAACCCACGTTGTTGCTGGATCTATAACTTTTACTGACCTTGATTTCTGTTTTAGTGTTGATACTTTCACACGCCACTACTATCAAACCTAAGTATCAAGCAATGCTGCACGTTGGGGCTGTGAGCCAGACTTGTGCTATCATCGATATTGATCGGGATTTTATCAGAACTGGAGACCGTGCCTTAGTCGCATTCCGCTTCATTCAAAGACCTGAATTCCTTTCAGTTGGAGACCGAATCCTGTTCCGAGAGGGAAGGACCAAAGGTCTAGGCATTGTTAAGGAGGTTTCTTATGATCCCAATGTCCCTCTTAATCCTGAGAAGAGGACAGCGCCTTCGACTGATCAGGGAAAGGCTGCCTAACTTAGGCGCTCCGTTTCTACGATTACGCAATGCCTTACGATTAATTGATGTTCATGTTTCTATTCTTTCTTGGGAACCCCATGCATATCTTTCTTCGCTGGACATTATCATTCCTTGTTTGCATGTTTCCGTTTCTATTCCTTTCTTTCTATTCGATCCCTACATATTGTTCCCTGCTTTCTGGTGTCAAGTGGAGATAATGACGGCTGTGTTTTGTATAATATGTTGGCCCCCACTGCATATACCTGAATCGCTTGCTGCTGATCGCCTCGCCACAACCGCCGTTATGGATATCCTTCTGCCTGTTTCTTCGTTCAGCTCGTATCCCATAGTCTTCTTCTCCCCAGATTTGGCGGCAGAGATACATATCACGTGACATATTTATGCTTTTTGCCATGATGTCATCACCCCGGAATGTGCCAAGGTACGTCACATCTGAAGTCATAACGTTTGGCATCAGGGGCGAAGAGCGCTCCAGGAGATGGCCTTGCAAAGGCTTGCAAACGAGCAATGGGCTTTCTCGCCACGTGTCGAGAACCTGTTGTTGGGAAGGGCCCGCTGTTGACGATGGTGTTTCTATATAAGGGCCTTCCAGTCGTGGAAAGCTGATATGTTTCGTCAACAAAATCAAACCATTTTCAAGTTTACTTATACACATAAGTATCTATACTTATCTATACTCAAGCTACTTTGAAGCTGTTCACAAACATGGAGTCTCTTAAGAGCGGACTGCAAGCTGCAGAAGATGCCCTGCTTGGTCACAAATCAGGGCAAGAGCCTGCCTCCGGAGTCCAAGGCAAGGGAACAGCAACCGACCCCTATGATGCTGGCAACGCTCCTAGTATGTACATATAGCTCTCTTCCTAATTATTATCACTACTACATTACTTATCTGAATGCTCTTCTAACTATCGATAACTCATAGCTCAACCAACTGAAACCCAAGGTTTGGCAGGTAAACATGGTACCGGTCAACAACCCTACGGAAACAAGGTTGATGAAGGAGTGGGAGGTTTCCACGACACCACAGGAAGAACTGCTGGAAAGCCTACTACTGGCAGTAATATGCCCCAGGAATCCGGACGTGTTCCTGGACGGACAACCCAAGGTACCGAAAGAGTAGATGAGGGTATCAGTGGTATCGCCGGAGATAAAACTGCATATGGTGAGAGAGCCTTACGATCAGAGATGCAGCAAGCAGATCAATTCTCTTCTACTATCGGTGCCGGTCAGAAATCCTCAACGGCAACCAAAATGAGTGGTGGGCTCACCGATGATTCACTTGGTGGTGCTGGAACTGCTGGAACTGCTGGAGCGGCTGGAGTTGCTGCTAGCGCCGCTGGGGCAGGAGCTATGGGCCGTGGCCAGGAACCAGGAATGACCAGCATGAAGCAACAGCCTGGTATGACTGATACAAGTGGACGAACTACTGGAACGGCAACACATGGCTCAGATATGCCATCTAGTACTTCTGGAGGATACGGGCAAACAAAGCAGTCTCAACCTGGCAGTGAATATGGTGGAGCTGCTCTCGGTTCTGGAGATGTCACTGGCGCCGGTCATGGCACCCGATATCAGCAACCCTCTGGTAGCACAACACATGGAGAGCACGGTACAACCAGTGATATGACTGGAAGCTCCAGCTATGGTGGTTCCTCCCAATACCCCTCTGAAATGAAGCAAGGTCAAACAGCTGGAAGCATGCCAGGTGCAAGCAGCTCTGCCGCCGGTGGTTACGGATCTTCAGAAATGAAGCAGGGAGCACCCACTGCTGGCTATGGTGGTACACAAACTGGAATTTCCCAGGGCACCTCTACTACTGGGCACGCTGGTTCAGGCTATGGAGGTTCCCAATATCCATCGGAGATGAACCAAGGAGTTTCATCCACGAGTCAAACAGCTGGAGGCAGCATGGGACGCACCGCTGATACAGGTTATGGAGCCTCCTCACAGCCTTCCTCTGGAATAAGACATGACGCTCCGACTTCCACCACCAATAGCCGCACTACTGGCGGCGTACCATCCCATGCACCAGTTAGTGGAGGAGAAACCCCGGTTAAGAGCACAGGGTTTGCCGCAGAGGGCGGTAACTTTGATGCCACGCAGCCAGGTGCTGGAAGAGAGGCAGATCGTAAGTTATATGTCCCTTGAACCTACTTATAAACATTCAGAAATAGCATACTAATGAAATGAGAAGGTCTTTTGGACCAACGCACTTCAAAGGCTGGCCAAGGTACTTCCACAACCGGCCATGGAAACACCGGCACTACAACCAACGAGCCTCACACTGGTGCCCATGAGCCACATACCACTCATAGATCCGGCAGCATCGCACAGAAGGCCAAGGATGCACTTCACATTGGAAAGCATTCTAAGACCTAACCTCGTGCCAGAGTGATATTTAATTCAAATTCATATGCCTTATGGTTTATATGTACCATATTTTCTAATATATTCCCATGCCTGTGATCCTCTAGTCGCGATGCAATTATTATGATTGAATTATATGTCCAAAATGTGTTTGTATTTACAAATTTGGATGGGTATCAGTTAACCTTTTAACTCAATTGATCCCCTATCAATATTTTTAATACCACTTAAGTCTACCAGTAAGCTGTTTCTAAAATGATGGAAATTGGCTTAGTATTGTAGGAGTTGAAACTAACGGGCCCCTAAACAGACAGCTCAGCGGTAGCTGTGGACATAATATATCCCTTATATTTCTCCAATTTTTTCTCGACAGGTCCTCCTGCTCCAGCATATCTCTCAACAATTTCGGGAGATCGGCCAATAAATAGCTTAGGGTCAAGGAGTCCATCTATCTCACCCCAGACTGGTTTCTGTTTAATATATATATTAGTTATAGCCTGTGATGTAAGGGATGGGGTTTTTTTTTTAGGTTAGATCATACGAAAAATTCAGTTTTCTTGATTCTCTCAATGAGATCATTTTTCCCACCCTCCATTTTGACGACATGAGCGGCTTGATGCGAAAGGACACGAATCTCCTCGTGGGCTTCTTGCCGGGAAACTCCGTGACTACACAACTTCATAATTATGTTCTCAGTAGCCATGAACGGCAACTCCTCCCGCAGCTGAGCGTTGACAATGGCGGGGTATACAACAAGGCCATTGGTGACGTTATCTAGACTGATAAGGATGGCATCTGCCATGAGGAACATCTCAGGGATGTCGATACGGCGAATTGCGCTATCATCCAGAGTTCTTTCAAGCCACTGGCCGGAGAAAGTTTCTGAAAAGTTGGCTGATACGTTGCTAAGCTTCCTGCCAATGCTGCAGATTCGCTCCGAGCTATTTTGTAAAAGTCAGTGCCTGCCCATAAGACATTTACTAAATGCAATGCATACCGCATTGGGTTGCGCTTATAAGCCATGGCAGATGAGCCAATTTGGTCCTTCTCGAAAGGCTCTTCCATCACTTTATCGTGGGCAAGGTGACGAAGATCAGTTGCAATACGAACAGCAGTTGCTCCAAGGGCTGCAAGGGCATTGGCAATGCGCAAGTCCACTTTCCTAGTATATGTCTGAGTAGATATGTCATAGCAGCTGGAGAATCCGGCCTTCTTGCAAAGGATCTCGTTCAATTTGTCGATTTTAGAGGCATCATTGTGGAAAATCTCCATGAAGGAAGCCTGAGTTCCGGTGGTTCCTTGTGCTCCTCTGAACTTAAGACCAGCTCTGACGTACTCGATGTCCTCGAGATCCATAACGAGATCTTGAAGCCATTGGGCGCCTCGTCGGCCAAGTGTAATTGCCTGAGCAGCTTGGTAGTGACTGACTCTATGGATTAATGGTTATTCATGAAATAGGGCTTGAATTAGATGCATACGTGAAGCCTAGGGCCGGGAGGTCCTTGTATTTGAGGGAAAATTGAGCAAGGTTGTGGATAACTTTGGCGAGCTTTGGTAGGATCAGGTCAAGCGCATCACGGATAAAAATCAAGTCGGCGTTATCGGTGACCTATAGAAATATGTAAGACTACCATTCGACACAATGGCAAATAATTCAGCAACGAGGAAACCGAGCAGTACTATAAACCGTGATTTCTGCCATTAGCGGCGGAGCAACAGTGATCAATGCAGTGAGTCAACATACCATAGCACGAAGTAGCTCCGAGATGAATAACTCCCGCGGCCGCAGGAGCATCCTTTTCCAGAGCATAAACATGGGCCATCACATCGTGTCTGCGACGGCGTTCTTCAACAGCGGCAACTTTGAACGCCTCGTCGCTCACGGTGACGTTCGCCTTGATTGCTTCAATCGCCTCATCGCTGATCTGCTTGATTCCGAGCTCTTTCTCGGCCTCTGCTAGCCAGAGCCAGAGCTTGCGCCACGTAGATGCTCGCTCACGGGCGGAAAATATCGTTTTCATCTCATTGCCTGGCACAAGTAGTTAGCTACTTTATACGGGTCATAGCGGGGGTACTGCGATAGCGGGGTTGATAGCAGCCGATAGCACATAAGAAACGGACATACTGGCATAGCGAGACGCCAATGGCGTCTGGTACTGATCATTAGCAGACATTGTGGGCTGTGAGTTCGGCATATGAAGCCGTAACGAGGTTGAGATGTTTTGGTTGTGCCGTGACTTGCAAGCGAAAATAAAGTGACCTGCGGCGGACTAAATGGACTTTTGACTATCCTGGTGAAAACTCGTGTTTATAACAAAACTTACATAAAATACGCAACGAGGGTTAGCACTTAGATTATGTAATTAGATTTCTAAGGATTTCTAGACAATATTATTGGATAAGAGGGAAGAACTTGATTACTAATATACCCTCTCTGTATTTTATTTATCTTACATAAGCACTCTTTCTTAAAGACACGCACTTTTTCTCTATGGTCCACGACCAGCTAACCATCCAGTTATAAAAGACGCATATCGCAAGACAGTGAAGAAATGAAAGATACAAGATGAACAGCATATGGATTGAGATATGACTTAATTCATTATAGCTGTCGTAGAAGCTATCCTGAGACCTTACACATATGCAGTCATTATAAGGGATTCAGCCGTTGAAATGAGCGAAAGACAAGATTCCAGTCAGTTATGCCGCCCAAAAAAAAAAAAAGCCCCAAGGTAATATACAAAAAGATAAGGATGCCGCCATTACAGGGTATCAATGGGATGGCTATACGCTATTCAAACAAGAGTTTCAACTCCTCGATGCGCTGCTCTCTTTTATCTTCGTCGCTGCCGTCACCGCCGACCCGCAAACCAAGGGAGCCGGCAATCATCATCTTTCTCTCCTGAATTTTGAGAATCCTTCCTTCAATGCTGTTTTTCACCACGAACCTGGACACCTTCACATCCCGTAGTTGGCCCATACGATGCACACGATCAATGGCCTGAGCTTCCACGGCGAAGCTCCACCAGGGATCCATCATGAACACGTGGTTTGCAACTGTCAGATTCAATCCGACACCACCAGCTCTCAAGCTGATCAAAAGCACACTCGGAGGGGAACCTTTGTCCTTCCTGCGCCTATTTCGGTATTCCTTAAAAGGGTCCGGGGAATGTGCAATATCATCATCATCATCAATGTCCTCTTCGTCAATTATAGGGGCATTGAACTGGGCAAGAACCGTGGCACGAGCCTTTTGACTCATCGTGCCGTCAAAGCGAAGATGAGCAATACCGGCGGTAGTCAGCTGCGGGGATATTAAGTCCAAAAAGGAGGTAAACTGAGAAAATACCACAGCCTTGGTGCCTCTGGGAAGACGTGTAAGATGGGTGATAAGAGCATGGATCTTCGCAGAAGTTTTGGCAGAGGGGGACAGGGGATTGATCCGACGTAAGGATATTCGGCATGCGGGAGGAGCGGGATTGTCCAAAGGCGGAGGATTTTGTGTTGCGGGAGTCTGTTCTGGAGATTCATGCCTCACAACTTCAAAAATATCGCGAGAACTTAGCTTTTCCCGGCAGCAAAAGCACCGGGGAACTTCCCCTTTATCAGTCTGATGCTTGATATAGGACTCCAAGCAAGCTTTACAGGCGCTATGCCAGCATGAAGTAACTGCTGGATTGATCATTGGCTCCTCAGAACAGATCGGACATTCACCACTCGATTCCGCCTGTATTTGCTTCAGTGCGTGAGTTGTGAAATTAGCGGTAGGGTCCCGCTCCTCGCCATCCGAAGCTTGCATTGAACTTGCGAATTTGTCAATGAGTTCCTGTAGGTCCATGTTGTCTTTCAAAATGTTCATTTCATCGGCAGCAATAGCAGCATCTTCCTCTTCCGCAACGATGGATTGGTTTCTCGTCAGAATGGGGTGGCAGCATGTTTGCCGTAAGCGGAGGATTTGGGCAAATATAGTTGTATAAGATTTTAATAATGTCCCTGCGGCTACATTGTCGTTGAATGTCCGTTTGGCTCGAGTAAAAATAACATCATATATTTCTCTTTCTTGTTCTGACAGCTCAATCTCTTCCACTGTAATGGTACGGGATGGCAATGGAACAAGGGCCTCTCCCTCCGGCGTTTTCATGGTTTTTGTGCGTCGAAGAACCAATGGTTCAAGAACAGTTTGTACAACGCTCAATGCACGCGCAAAGTCTTTCGATTCAAATGGAACAGTGATAAAGGTCTTCCAGAACGAAAAATTGCACCATGGTTCCACTTTGAGGAATCGCACGAGGCTATAAAGGTCTTCAAGTCGGTTCACGATAGGTGTACCGGTTAGGACCCATCTATGTTTGGCCTTAATCTCATAACACGCTTTGGCTGTTTTGGAGGCCCGATTCTTGATATAATGGGCTTCATCAAGAATTACACGGAAATATTCGACAGAAAAAAGGCCATTATCGCCCAAGTTTGTGCGGCCAGATAGAATCTGGCTATGCTCTGACCGAACAACCCCATAGCTAGTAATGATTACATTGGGAGCTGATGGGTTTTTGGGAGAACAAATACTTCGTAGGTTGACCGATTTGTCTGTTCCATAATAAACTAATGTCTTCATAGTTCCCGGTTTCGACGCCTTTGACGCTTCACTTTCCCATTGTGACAAAAGGGATGTGGGGGCAACAACAAGGGTAGTGTGTGGAGCGTAAGATACTTCGGGAGAGTTGTGTGGCCACGTAATACTGTGGCCTGATGATGGCAATGTAATGCCATTAAAGTATTCAGAGTTAGGTTTATGAGAGTGTATCAAGCTCATCATTTCGATGGTCTTGCCCAGCCCCATCTCATCGGCAAGAATGCCACCCAAACAATTTTGTTCCTGTACGGGAAAGTCAAGACTTAATTCCCCAGAATATGGGTTAACGTAAAAAAAGTCTTTACCACGTACGCGTGGGAGAGGCTTATCATCAACATCTTTTACAGGCCAAGGGTATTCTTCCCACAGGGGATGCATGGATCTTTGCTTTGTTGATTTTTCATCTTTCTCCTTGGTGATCAGCCAATGAAGGGCCTGTTTTTGATACTTTCGTAATTCCAGATTGAAACTTTCACCTGGAGTAGCTTCAGGCATATTGAAATCAAAACACTGGGCTTTCTGATACAATGTATCTAGCTGATCTTGGTCAAGCTGTTCACCATCGTCGCTTTCGGATGCTTCGTCAGCATCCTTCGACGGATCCTTGCTCGATGTTCCCGATTTTGTACCCTGCTCAGCCATTTCTGCAGCACGAAGAAGCCCACTTTTCTTCTGCTTTGCAGTGGTCTCATCCCCGGAAGTTGGTGAGAGGCAGATCTCATCAAAGAGAGTTACCAGTGCAACTTGGCGTAAACGAAGTGCCTTTTCTTCCGCCGTTTCCTCATGCTCAAAAAGACGAGGGGTATCATCCTCCAGTCCAGAAGAAAAACGCTTCTTGAATGCTGAGTTTAGCACATAGCATCGAAGTTGCAAGTATATAGTATCGTTTATGCGGATTCTCTCCGGTGCAAAAACACACACAGCGGTGAATTTGCATATCTTCTGATCGATTAAAGTTGATACCCAAGATGCAGTTTCCTGTGGCAGCCTTCCAATTTCGTCACCATTGGAGTTCGTGAACCTAGTTATAACATCCGTTTTAGGATTTGATATAGCTCTTTTGGTCTTTCCTGCTTTTGGCTGAGGCTGAGTTTTCGTGCGCTGAATTTTGACTTCTTCCCCAAACTTGAGTGAGCTTGTACTTGACCTGGTTGCCCATCCACCAACACCAAAGGCACCCAGATATCGATACTCAGGGTTATCCGAAAGCAAGGGGCCACATTCGTTCTCGTCTTGAGAAGCTGTCACATATGTGGCATTTTCTGGAGCTGAAGTTTTGTTTGTAGAAGCTTCTTCAGTAGTATTCTCAATCAATGGCAGAGAGACATCAGGCATTTTAGTATCGCTAGCTTCTTCCCAAGTGCCGTCAAGATAGACATTAACAGCCTTTTCCATGTCATTTCCTGCCTTGCGACGCAGCTGAGCAACAACATCGGCAGAAATCGGGCATCCAACGATGGAGGAGAAAAGCTCAATATCAAAATCAGGCTCATTATCGGTTATTTCGGTCGCCTTTCCCACTTGTCTGTTTGCGGCATTGTCCTCAGCGGGTGTGGGAGCCTTCGCCAGGCCTGAACTAATAGAAGTCGACGCGTCGAGGTTGGTGAACTTGAGCGGAAAGTCGGACTCGCTTTCATCTTGGAAAAATCGTCTTTTCTTAGCAGGACGCTGCTCGATACCTTCAGAATTCATATCCGGTGGCTGTCATGGAAGTCAGATTGCAGGACTCCCAAAGCTGACTTTGCATCTCCAACGACGCGCCTCTTAATTGAAGGTTTAAACGCGATTTCTATTTAAAACAGACGCGCATATGGGCGGCGTATTAATAATCGCGGCAAAAAGATATTCCCGAGAATTATGTCATTTTAGGTAATTTAATTACTAAGCGAATTCCCTTCTTTCAAGCTGAATACATTTTGAACATTGAAAACCAGACAGAAGCGAGGATATCTGGGGACGATGGCTTCAAATTATTCAATGTGCATCCAATGCACATTGAGACATGCCCGCAGGGAGATTTTCCGATCTGCATCAATAAAAAAACAGTCAATTCGTTCTCTGTCAGTTTCTGCACCTTGTTTGACGGCATCTAATCGTCCTGGAAGCTCCAATGCCGAGCTGGAATCGGCGCATAGCTACTGTGTTGAGCTCCTAAGGTATGCAATACATCAATCGGGCCTCAGGCCCTATTGCCTCTTACTATTTGAATAGATAGCTAATCTCAACTAGAAAATATGATCGACCGTCTTATACCCTGAGCACATTCATTCCTCGACACTCCACCAAGTTTTATATCGCTCTTCATGCCCTAAATGTTTCGCTATCGATGATACCGGAAACAACATCCGCGCATACAATCGGTCTAATGAGGCTGCAGTACTGGAGAGATGCCATCACACGTACTCTCGCCGGAACTCCTCCAAAGGAGCCCATTGCTATTCTTCTGGCCTCGGCCCTATCCGACCTTGATGCACGGACTCAGGGAAGAGCGAAGATAAGCAAAGGGTGGCTTATGCGATTGATTAATGCGCGGGAACAGCATTTGGTGCACACATCATATCCCACCTTAGCTTCATTAGAATCTTATGCTGAAAGCACATACTCTACACTGCTATACTTAACTCTTAGCGCATTGCCCCTTACTTCATTAACGGCTGATCATTTGGCATCGCACATCGGTAAAGCAGCTGGAATAACTGCTCTTCTTCGCGGTGTGCCGCTTGTTGCATTCCCTCCACCACCCAGTCATCATTCAAGCCAGACTCGGATGGGCAACGAAGGTCCTATAGCAGGCGACAGCAGACAAGGCTCCATCATGCTACCACTTGACGTTATGGCGCAAACAGGGGTAAAAGAAGAAGACGTCTTCAGACTTGGCGCAGACGCTCCGGGACTACGAGATGCTGTTTTTACAGTGGCCACCCGTGCTAGTGACCATCTAATCACTGCCAGACAAATGCTGAAGAATTTACGAGCTGGTCAAGACGTTGGACATGCCTTTGAACATGAGGGAGAAGAAGGGCACGAATATCAAGATGACCAACATGAAAAATCAACAAGCCTGAGCACTCAGCTGCAAGAAGTCGAACGAGGGTTTTGTGTTTTGCTACCAGCTGTTTCCACGAGCCTGTGGCTTAATAAACTACAAAAGGTAGACTTTGACATATTCAAACCGGAACTTCTTTCTACAGATTGGAGGTTACCGTGGAAGGCTTACTGGGCTTATCGACAGCGAAATATCTGAACGGCTATTGGCCTGTAACCTTTGTAACACCGATTATAGATGTATTATACAGAATGGTCTAATTATCATACCCCTTGTTCTCGTCAGTTTCCACACCGGGATCGTATACGCAGGTAAACAAACATATCGGCTCAAAATTAAGTTGCTTGTGGTCGTTGCCGCACAGGTCTTCGCCGCCGTCTTGAACTCCAGATTAATCGTTTGTTTGCAAGTTTCATCAAGTAGCGCTTTATGACCTCACGCCTAAGAAATTCGTACATCAGTACAGGTAGTGACAATTTAGTTCATAAATACTAGAGGCACTCACATCAAGATGACCATAACTACGAAAACAAAAGGTATTGCAATAGCCCAGAAAAAACTTTGTTAGTGTTAGCTGAAAGTACTGCCGATACCACAAGAAGGCCAGAGAATGTACTCACGCATCACTATATTCTTGGATGCTTGAAAAAGACTTGAAATTCATTCCAAAATAGCCCTGTCCAGAATTAATTCGCTTGTTCTTTTCTAAGCTAGGGTCACGGACGTAACTTACCGAAAGGAATGTAAGAGGTAGAAACATACAGGTTACCAGTGAGAGCTGTGTTATACTTTCGTTCTGATAAGCCCCTGTGGTGAAGAAATTAGTGCCTGTAAACCTGGCTGAACATTTTCTGGCTGGTGTTTAAGCTTACCAATGGTGTTGAATATCAGGTCAATCATATTATCTGCTGAGCGCCGCATTTGGTCATAGCCCTCATTTATAGTGATACAATGATCTAGGACATCACCTAGGTAAGTTTGACACATAGGGCTTATGTTAACGGTTGAAGGCATTCTAACTCCTTCGGTTTCCTGGTTCGAGGCAACTCGGGATCCAGACCCAGAACCAGAGCCATTGGTATGCGAGCATGCGGGCAGTCCCATTTTGACCCCTAGTTGAGGGCGGCTGTTCGGATCCGGCTTATGATCCCTTAGAGAATTGATAACTCCAATAATTGGCTGGATGGCGTTTCGCAAAACGGATATTTCGGAGGTAAGTATATACAGGCTGCTCGACTGCTTGATATTCGGATCGGTAAGAACTTGAACTTCGAGGTCTCCCATTGCGTCTTGGTAAGCCATTGTGACCGGAATGGCAAGATCAGTGATAGCGTCGATAATAGCCTGTAATACCATACTTGCATCACAACTTTGTCGTAGGATAGTTCCAGGAGACCTTAGCCGTTGGATGATCGGAGTTTCGATATCGTCGGCGCTCGCCTCGAAGAAGGATGTCACGGAGTTATCTGAATGGAGGAAAAGAGAAACTTGCTCGATACCAACACTAAGACCTTTAGGTCCTAGGACAGCATGACGCTCCATGAAATCTATACGGTCCTCATTAGGTCCTCCTCTAAAGCGCTGTAAAGATCGAATGGCTCGAGTTGGATTGACGGGTACTTCCTGGTGGGAACCCGTAGGAGGCCTCTTTGTACCATTAAGCCTTGGGCGTCTCTGCTGGTATTTTGGCACAAACAGATCCATCAATGCCGTCATTATCACCCCTCGGTTTTTCTTTTTTGAGTGGTGACTGGGCGGTTTTGAGTCATCCGTTTCATGTATTGTCTCTTCATCTTCAGACTCGCTCTCTGCTTCGGAATCTTCGGGGCTGGTATGCTTGATCAACTTTTGCATTGCAAGAACAATAAAAGTATGGTCGGAGAACCAATCGACTTTCGTTCGGTTTACGGAATGCATAAGATCCTCCACCGCTAGCCTGTGAAGGTGTTTGTGGTTCGCCAACAGCCTAACGACGTCCCAGCTCAATCCGTTGACATTGATCCAGCGGCACTGTACCCATGGCTCTCTCTCCCTCTCCAAAAAAGGCACCAATGTTGCATTATCCAAATGATACATACGCATTGCATCGTGAGAAAAGTCCACCACTGTGATATCACACTGTTGGTACAATTGGGCTTGCAACAAGGTTCCCTCGTCTGCAAATGATGTGGGAAGGCTTGGATCCGTAGGGTCAATTCCAGGCTCTTCACCTGGATGCCAATTTGGCGAGTGTATCTCTGGATAATAAGGGCGCGCGGTGGTAGAGCGCCGACTGCGCCTTCTAACACTGCTTTGAGGCTCAAGACCGGGAGCGTTTCTGGTGGAAGTAGGCGACGCAGACGGAAATGGCTCCAGCCTGAAAGCTTCACCACCTGCCTGAGCCTCGACATCGGTAGTACAAGGGCTGATTTCGCTCCCGTTCAGAGAACTTGATCTCCCAGGAGCCATCCTGACGCGGTTACGAATGGTATATTGAGAACACAGGGAACCATGACAACAAGAAGCCCACAGCCAAATTCAGCATCCCTCAAGTAATCGAAATTCTTTGTGAGTGCGCAATTACCATGCTAGACATGATATATGATCGCCTTCCAGGTCCAATCGACGTCATGTGTAGTTTCACCACTGCGATTGTTGACGTGGTTGATCGACGTTGAAATTGCGCCGCGCTGGAAGTTTGTTAGGGTGGAACTTTCGGCAGTTGCGGGAGGCTTGGCGCGCTATCCCTGTTGCGGCCTATGATGAAATTAATCTATCAAGGCTAAACAAGGTATATCAAAGCATCTTAAGGTAATCTATATAAGTATATGAATGGGATTTATTATCATAATGGTGCATATCTTGTCCCTTATAATACATAACCAAGCGACCCAAGCACCACGCACCGGAACATGCACCATATCAGTAATGAGATAACTGGGACAAATATATTTACAAGAAAAGATGGAGTTAAAAGGTTGGTAGTATCAGGTGGATTTGAATGCCTGAACAAATCATGAAAATGAGAAAAGAGATAAATGGCATTCCATCATGAGAATGCGGTGAAGTTGACGCGTTAAACCGATCGATATAAGAGAGCGAGGAGAAGGACAGAGGGTATGATTTGATTATACAGATGCTGGGGAACGAGGTTTCCAACCGAACCTATGTATTGTAAAAGATGACGGTTTGGGGGCTAAGTTCGACGATTTTGGAAGAAGATTTGGCTGGACATCCATTAAAACAGCCTTTTGTGGTTCTGCGTGAGGGGGTATTTGCGATTTTGATCCACGTTTAGGTTGCGATTTTGTTGTGCTCCCTGACGTCGAGGAAGAGTTCTTCTTCATCGAACCCTTTATTAATTCTCGTAGCTCCTTATCGTCACTGGTAATTTGGGCTTTGATAAAATCCATGCTGCTTGAATTTTGTAATGACGCCATTACGGGTTCCCGTGGGGTATAGCTGTAGTTTTCTGGGACCGGCGGTGACAATGGGGTAATTGATGGATCAAGCCTAGCCTCGTCACCCTTGGAGAGTAGTTCGTTGATATCGAGGGATTCCCCATGTGGGATTTTGTTGGGATGAGATGGCGTCACACAATCCATGTTCACCTCTTTCCGCAAGACATGATCAATATCTACTGCTGAGAAGAACGCACAAGATTGTGGCAGGTCGTCAATACCCATTTGCTGCGAAAACATAGCCCGAGTCCAAAGATTCGCAACCTGGAGTGCCATTGCAGCCTTGTACTTGTCTGTTTCCCTAACCACATACCTAATTTCATCGTGGACAGTAATGGCAAGACGGGCATCAAGATTGAAGCGCCTGATGAGATAATCCATAGATATGATAAGTAAATGAAGGTAGTCGACCCCAGATGATTGAATAGCCCAGTTAATTCTGGACGTCATGAAGCCACCTTTGTTGATAAACCGTCGCATTAGTGCCTCAGTGATACCAGCTCCCAGGACGGGGGTTCGTGGTCTCTCCTGCTCTGCGAACTCTTCCAGCTTGTTGAAAACGAAGGATTCGGTTCCACCTCGTAAGAAAGGGTTCTCACTCAGTATTCTGCGAGTAGTCCGAGTTCCCTTCGTTTCCTTGTATAATTTGGCAGCCACGGCCTTTGTCTCCGCTTCAGACATGCTTGGGTTGAATTGCCGTAGAAGCGTGGCTGCAAATTTCAAACCAGCTCCATATATTCTACCATAATTAAAAACTTTTGCATTATTTCGTGAAATTCCAAGAATTTTTGCCGTTTTCGAATGTAAATCTGTACCAGCAGCTTTCGTACCTTCGAGAGTCATGAAGCCAATCGCATTTCCACCGTGTAGTTGGAATTGTGCATCACCGACTAAGCTTGCAATCCAAAGTTCCTCAGAGTCAACATCTGCACCAACGAAAACATACCCAGGTGGTGCGCGAACCATGGCTTTCAGCTCAGAACCGACGCGATTCGGTTTGGCATTACTTGCGGTGAGCCAGGTATTCTCAACTGCTCTGCGCGTGATTGTTCCCATAGGAATAACTTGGGGAAGGATGAAGCCCACTTTTGAGTCCAGCGAAAGCCCTTTGCCCAGCGTACCTGTTTTTTCCAAGTCCTTTTTGTAAACAACCATTTGCGATGTAATTCGGTCTCTGGCGCTTATCCAATATGAACAGGACGCATTCATTTCCAAAGCCTCCTTAGCCAACGGAAACTGAGATGAGAGCTTCCCACTTTCAAAATATTGCAGGTACCCTTTTGAAAGTGGGCTAGCACATCGAGCATCTGGTCCGTCTTTATGTGGAAGTTTGAAATAGACATGGTCTCTGCTCTCACGTAGAGCAGCGTTTGTCTCTTCCGACATGTCGCATGGCGCAAATGCCTGTTTCTCATATCGCTCTAGCTCCTTTTTGGGAACTTCAAAAGTCCAGCCATGCTTGTCAGACCAAACAAGGGGAAAGCCATCCCACGAAAGATTCAAGAGGATTGGAGATATACGAGTCCGCACTGTGATGTTGATATCTGATTTACTCGTTGGGAAAAGGTCCTTATACCACTTCGGCATCCCTGGTAGTTTCTGTCGGGCCGCTGGCCGAGGCGGATCGCCTTTTTTCTTTCCTTTGACCATCCTAATCTCCTGGCCCGACCAGTCCAGCTGTCGAAGCCAGGGATCATTTTGGTATATTTCCGGTTTGTCTTTCACCTTGAGAGCGTTTTCGCAGAGTTCCACTAGCCTCTTTTGCACATTGTCCAACGCACGATGGTATGTGTCTTCCGCATTTTTCAAGTACTCCCCCCATGTTTCATTAACCGGTAGAATAACAGTGGAAAGATGCCTCAATGCAGCAAAGCTGACGGGGTGTGGACACGTCTCTAGGAAATTTGGGAATACCTTTTTGTAGACCCGGTGCGTAATTGCAACGTCGGCAGCGCAGTAATCCAGAAGTTCATCTAATTGCCCATTAATTCCCTCTCGGTCAAGTTCGCCAAAATAGTTCCGTTGAGCCTTATCTATTGTGATATTGCAGTGGAATTTGGCAACATCGCGAAGGGAGTTAACGGAACTTCGGCCTACCCATAGCTCTTCCTCCTCCTCGCTGAGCATTTTATTTTCAACCATAGACGCAAGCTCAGCTGACTCAGTTCCACGCATTAGCTTGTCCCGAAGATCTCTGTTTTTCTTATGTTTCATCCAAGTTGGCCGCTGTTGTGAACACATTCCATTTACAGCCACGTGCAGAGACATGGTATCAATGAAGAAGTTGCGAGATTGTTTGATATCATATTCTTCTAGTATTCTGGCTCGATCATAACCAATATTATGACCAACAATGACGCGAGATGTCGATATGTCACCAAGAGGTACTAGATGATGGGTATCTTCGGTTTCCTTAAGGAGCCAGGGCGAAATCCATGCGTACCAAGCCGTTGGGCCGGCAGCGCAGGCCATTACAGCAAATGGATGTTCCTTCCACATAACTTCAGTATCAAAAGTGAGCATAGTCTCATCAGGAGCACTGATTTTCTGCGCCGTTCCGTCTGCATTGTATTTTGTCCAACCGCTCTGTCTAATCCATTTTCGCGGTTGCTGGGGTAAATGAACCGTCGCATAGCGCTTAGCATCACTTAAAAAGGGCTCAGAAGCATCCATTCCTAGCTTATGAAAGTGTTCATCCAGAGATTGCCCCTTGAGAACTGGGAGATTGAATCCAATTGGATCAGAGCCATCTTGCGCTTTCCCCAGCAAATCGTGTCGGGACAAATGATCTCGAGCTAAGTTGACAAGTTTAGGATCTGGAGACGTGTGCTTATTGCTGAACACTTGGGGGTGGATGACGTTGCTTAGTTGCTGGACTCCGATCTCGTTAAACCTGCCAGTTGCTGGCACTAGTACAGGGCTTCGTTAGTCGAGTCTGTTCAGCGAATTCTATGGCGAGGGTCCTATATACATGCAAGTGTGCTCGGCTTCGGCGCAGCTCCTGTATCCTCCCGGGCATCCTGGATCGCCTGCTTCGAATACTTCCTGATAGTTACTTTCCATGCTGGTATTGGATGGTGGACTAATCGCGTCTTCAACGAGAAAGAAACGGTGGTTTTATGCAAACCGCGGCTGAACACCTGCATGGTTGCGCGATCAATAAGTCATTCTGTTGTTTCTGTAACACTCAGCTCCAGAAACCTTCCACCTCATCTGGCTCTTGTATATTGTATACTGTCTCCTGCCAACCGGTCCCTTTGTCGCTTTCATCTTTTTGCCTGCCGTCCTTTGGGCTTCTTTCCGTCTCTGATAGACCGCATTACATAATAGTCTGGGCAAAGGATCATAATCACGTGAAGATATCAATGTCATGTGATCTTATCTTGCTTGCTTATTAATCTTTATCGGCGATAGCAAAGCGACAGGAAAAGCGACTCCGATAAGAAGAAACAACCTTGAAACCAGCCGACGTCTTGACATTCAGGCCCATCTTCACGCCCCTTCGATTATTGATAGTGAGCTCTTCGCCACCCAACTGATACCGCACATACCGATCCTGGCTTAAGGAGCCTTACAACTACTACATTCACTTGACAAAGGAGTTGCTCAGCTACAAGCTGCTTTATCTGAGCGTGTATATAATATTTGCAGTTAGGTCTCATACTGGCCTTACATTACCTACTCTCCTTGCTCCGGAAACCATTGACACCACACACGCTATCACCGGTAGCACCTTCGATCCCTCGTGTTCTATCCATATAATCGCACCTGAATCTCCTTCGCTTTACATCAATCGCCACAGTCGGTTTTCCTCCATCATGGAGAACGATACAGTTGATCTGACTGGGCCGTCGTCTGCTACAACCTCACATAGTAGCAGGAGGCCCGTGCCACAAACATTACAGCCGTCACGGTCTCGTCGTAGCGCATCGCCTGACTTTAATGACAATAGAAGCAAGGTTAAACGCCGGAGGTTGAGCAACAGAAACAATCGGAGCAGTACCCCAACAGCTGGCCCGTCTTCTCAGAGCCACCAAACAGCAGAGACTATGATTCCGGGTGAAATCGAGGCTGTGGATTTAACTAGTGTCGACGACTCCTCTTCGCTAGCACAAGTTCTTGCCAAACAGCGGGAAGATGCAATCATAGCTCAGAAAAATGCTACAAATGACAAGGAAGCAAAGTCTATACTGATAGCGTATAAATGCCCAGTTTGCATGGATGTACCTGAGAATGCTACAAGCACTATTTGTGGTATGTATTGTGCTGTTATTCCACATAATGATACATTACTGAACATATTCCTTTCACCGTAGGTCATCTATTCTGCCATAAATGTATTATTGACAGCCTCAAATACAACGAGACCCGCCGCACACTTGAAGGTGCTGGAAAGGGAGCCAGAGGGAACTGTCCGGTTTGCCGCAAATCTATAACCGTGGTAGACAACCCCGGTCCCAGACGGAATCTTGTGCCATTGCAGTTTAAATTGATAACTCGGAAAAAAGGATAAAGAATCTGCAGACGGACTCATATTTCTTATGTAAATTTTGGTAAACTAACTTTCCTACGTATCTATTGCTCTGCTGCATACAGCGTCATGGGTTATGAGCGAACAACAATAGCATGCTCGAGGTTTCTTGGGGTTTGGTCTCCTTTCAAGCTTCTCTTTCTCTGTAATACATTTTGCTAGCATTTGTGTACTATTCACAGAAGTTACTATTTACTACACGTGCTACCGTAAAAACGCATCACTAGTTAAATCGAAAGGTAAATTTACTACTAATCTAATTCTAGTCATACACAAACAAGCCTTACAATGGCCCATACATCTCTATCTAACAGGTCAATTACTTTCGGCCTACTACTTCCATAGTATTCCTTCTGCTCCTTTCACCACTCAGCCCAGACCGTACCATAGCATCCCCCTTCTTGCCTAACACAACCTCTAGTGCCTGCACAAGCCCAGCAGGATCATATTTCATTCCTACAACAGACCCCTCATCGTTCACTACCTTGCGTCCATACAGCCGCAAGCACTCAATACCCATCTCATTCAGGCGAGCGCGATCTACTTGCGGTGTGCCGGGTCCGTCTAGATGCAGAATATGGGTCACATAAGATGTGTACGGCTCGCTAGGAGCAGATATTTGTGGTGTGCTGGGTTTAGGGGTACAGGAATCTTTTGGTATCGAACTTCGACGTTTATGTGAACAGCTCTCTTCTGCTGCACGTACAATGGCTTCAACAAATTCAGATGCCGATAACGGCTGGGATGTGGGACCAGTTTCGCGATCCAAGGACCCGTTGAGAATGAGGATCTTATATCGTGCAGGCCCTGAAGCTATCGACCGACCTACTCCTCTAAGGATAATAGAAGGTATAAGGGACGTATATAAGGATCCAATGCTATATATGATCGCCTGGGATGAGCGCAGCGCCTCTAACACACGAGGATTGGCAGGTGGTCTAATTTCTTGGCCATAGGGGTTGATATACCAGACACGGGAGATTCGGCAGGGGAGCTCATCAACAACTGACTTGCTAAACTGAATGTTCTTGTTCCGCAGTGTTGGGAGGGACCCGGGTAAATGGCTTTCTTCATATAGCGGGTCCTCTGGCTCAAGGTATGGGTCGTCGCCATCGGCTAACATTAAACTAGGACGCCTAGAAGATGGCGTGGGTTGTATAAAGGAGGCCTCACTCGGGTGAGAAATGCTATTTTGGCCAACGATCACTGTTCCATCCTCAAGTGAGGCAGATATATGATGAGAAAAGTTTGAATTTATAGCAGGGATAACTCGGACACTGTCAATAGGGACAGAGCATATGCTAGCCAGGAGGTATATAGCACTCTCAAAGCTCCCACTGAAAAGTCTAGCAGCAGTCAAGAACAGATTGCCCACGCTAGCGGATGTGAAGTCGAAAGTAGATGCAGGAGGTCTCGCGCGCTTTAAGATTTCAAGATTAAGCAGGTTTAAAAAGGACCGAATTAGCTCCTTTTTTGCAGGTGTAATAGCTTGCCACAGGGAGGAGTTTCCCTCAACAATTGAATACCACTCATCGTGAGCACTGCTAGCGTTCGACGACAGCCGATGATTGAAAAGGGTTTTGATTCCAGCTCGCTCTGGATCAGTCGGAGAATCTGGGATCAAACGTACCAGCCGGCCTTTTACATGGTTACATTGGTTGAGCTCATAGTTAAATAGAAGGTATAGATCAGATACACTTACTTCTAACATCACCAATTCCTGGACCACCAAAAAATCTTATAAGCTCGGACGAGGAGCCACCATTATCGCTGATCGGGATAATATAGCTCAAAGGGCAATTTTTAGATTCTCTGAGGGCGCTGAAAACATCCACTAGATTATTCGCAGCACTCCCGCCAGAGAACACTGTAATGCCACGATTGGGGCTAGCGGAGGCGGCCATCTTGGGGATTTATGTATCGTACTTGGAGTACGGTTTTCAATGATGCTAGCTGAATGGGTGCATCTGGGGTATCGAATATTGAGTCAGAAGAGCGAAGTTCAGGATACAGTGTCCTTAACGGTGTAGTTAGCTAGTTAGTTGATTTCCAAGCCAGGATTCGTAACCAAAAACAAATCTGGAATCAAACACGTGACGTTGGCCAATTTGCCCCAAGGAGTGCTCTATTTGAGCGACTACATCGTCTTTCACAAAGTTGGGATATGGTCCGCGAAACAATCCCGTAATTCTCCTTCTGCTTTCTCAGATATACACATCACATCGAAGTATCATTAATTTGCTTGGTTTCCCGCAATAATGTATGGTTGAGATACAAAGGTACCAAAGCTAAGCAATATAGTTTGCAAAATTGTAGTGTGCTTCAAACTAGTTTATTATTGACGCAGAGCACATCCCACTAAAAAGACGCATCTTGGCTATATTTTGCGTAAGACACTAATAGACGCTTCCCCGTGGTTGTAGTATGTAAATTATATGATATATGAGGGGTGAAAACATCCAAGGGCAAGGATGCGTCAAGGTTAGACGTATGCAGCCCAGCCTATATAATGTAGTTAGTGTCATGTTTGCAGGAATTGATGGATAGATAATTTATATACTTACCACAGTACAGGACAGCAAGGTTCTTTTCATCTGTAGCTTGCTGAATCAATTCGTTGACAGTGGCTGCTACACTCAGTGACTTGCCAAGCTTCTTCCGAACAACCGTCAAAGCTCTATCAGCCTCATTTGGCTCGTTGAGGTTCGTCTTTTTTCTACCTTCGTTGGAGGTGACTGCGCCATTTTCAGCTTCTTGGGCGTCTTGCATCTTTTTCATTCGTAAAGGAGACAATGTCCAGCTGTATAACGGGTCATAACGCAGGACATCTAAAATAGTCATTATACTGTACGACTCTTCACGGAGGGCTGCAAGAGTAAATTCACAACTTCGCCGGAATACTCCTTCAGTTTTTGTAATCCCCATACCGTCCACAAGATCCCTAGTTAGACGGAAGGGCACACTCTCCGGAATTGGCAAAACACGGCCTTGCTCAAATGCAACACCCAAGTCAATATGCACTGCCTCTCCTGTTTCAGTATCTAGAAGGATATTATGGCCGTGTCGATCTCCCAGGCCTAACACGTGGCCAAGCATGGAAATAGCAGCTGTACTTCTAGTGTATGCCAAACGCTTGCTAAACCAATCATCTGGATTTAGGAATTTCTCCATGAAAAAATATTTCATAACAGGGTGGAAATGGTCGGTAACATGACGGTAGGCTTTGATACGTTGATCTCGAGATTTGCTCTGAGCGTCGTTGATAAATTTGCGGCACTGGTTTGGTTTGAAGTCCCTAGGGAAGTATCGCTGATGTGCCGGTAGCAGGTAGTCATTTAACGGCATCGTGTTTTGGACAAATTCAATAATCCCAGAATTTGATGCCAGTGGTAACACTTTGTACGTTCTGATGCCTAACTTTCGTTGTCTAGTGTCTCTATGGTCTCGGAGAAGGTCACTGACTTGTTCGAAAGTCTGCTCCATTATTGCGTCTTGACGTAAATCATCATTTCCAGATTTAAACTGTATTTAGTAAGGGTTCTATGTTAGTAAAAATTTGTATTGAAACGAGTCAAATACGAGAGTTTGAAGTCATACCAGTTGTTTATACCGTACCCCATTAGATGCCATAGCAGTAACAATTTTCGGGGCACTAATACCAGACGCGATGGTAAAGGTTGGCTGAAAACTGACCAGATGTGGAACATCGCTATAGTCACAATCGGCACGAAGCGGAATGGTCATAGTTGGCGGCGGTATTTTAGTATTTGAGATGGCGCTCTGCATTCGAGTGCCATATATAGTCTTCTTCAACACCAGCTTGGATCCGCTCTTCACTTTGCCTTCCAATGGTTCTGCCGCAAAGTTCAAGTAGTGGTAGCTGGTATTGTGAATTGCGAGCCATTCGCCTGACCTTTTGGACTTTTTCAACACATCCACAATTTTTCCTGCTGCATTATAGCGTGAAACAGCCTTTGGGTCATTATCCTTCTTAGATCTGCTGTTAACAAATAGGTGGTACATGCCATGGTAGGGATGGTCGATGCAAATTTGGAGAACCAATGTGGATAACAGTGGTTGAAATGTATCTGCAACGTCGAGCAATCTTGAAGATAACTGATTCATCAATGAAGCAAACTTCCGGGTCGGCACTTCGCGTAAATATCCTGATACGGCATTATTAGCTTGTTCATTATCTGAATTGTCAAGCCATAAGGCACAGAAGCGAAGTACATCATTCGCAAAGGTGTCGCAAGCTGTTAAAGATAGGAGATAATTTTCAAGGCATTGATATAAAAATGACTCTCGGCTCTTCTTCAGTCGTTGGTATTCGCGATCATCCAGATCAAACCATTGCTTTGCTTTCATGCGATGTGTACGAAGCTGGTCCTTCGTCTTTCCGTCAGAAGTTTTCATCATTTCCTCAAGATCAGCTACCTCTTTAAGCTTTCTTGTTCGCAAATGCTCTAGCCTGACAAAGTCTTCCAATGTGTCTGGATTCTGTAGTTGCTGGTCACAAAATGTCGCAAATTGATGAAATACAAGACCGGCTTCTCCGCCGGTGTATTCCCCTTTTAGCTCTTTGATAGATGGGGCTAAGTAGCTCTGAATGATGGCATCTGGCTGTTCTAATCTAGCCTCTGCAATGTGGTGTCCCTATTTCATACATTAGAACTCTCAAAAGAATATAATAGGGGCGGGGGGTTAGACTTACTAAGCTAGCCAAAATCTCTGCTACACTCACGGGAATAGTCTGGCTGTGCAAGTCCTTTTGACTACTTAAATTTTGCAGAATCTTGATGGAGGTTTTCATTTCACCTTGATCCCAGAGAACATTTGCTAGATCAAATGCAGTCGCTGCGTCAATTTTCACCCCTAGTTCTGCGCAGGGTTGAACCAGTTTTGATAACGACATAGCCGATTGGAGGGATGCCTGTGGAATACCGTGCTCTGTACTAATTCTCAGTGATTCTCTTATACACTTAGCCTCTAGAATTTGAGCGTCTCTCGAGCTTAAGTTTGTCATCTTCTTCAAATGTGACCGGCGGCTAATTGACGAGAATATAGCTTCCCTACTGATCAATATTTGACTTATATCTTGAAAGCTATGAGAGTATTAGTTACTATTCAGCTTTATTCCAGAGAATTAGGGGAGTTTGAATCTCATACCTTTCTGACTTCAGCCACTCCCCACGACTTGTTAGGCGGTCCCAAACTTCTTGTAAGTGCGAAGAATTGTCCGACATGATTATTTCGTCGATCTCGGTAAGTATTCCTAAAACTGTCATGAAAGATTTCAAAGAGGAAAGTGACTGGTTTCCCTGGTTAAGACAGTCAATAATCTCAAGGAAGCAATCATCCAGGGACTTGACTATCTGAATTCTATCCTCTAAACTATTCAAAGCCTGTAAAGATTTAAACAGTGTTCCAGTTGGGGACGTTGTTGTAGGTACCGGTATATCCCACTGTTGCAAGTATATATTTGTTGAAAGCATGTGATCAAATGCCTCGTTACTAGCACAAGTTGGGGTGCACGAACGGAACATGGCACTAGAAAGTCCTTGTAGATTTGTGTAATTGAGAGCTTTAATCATTTCAAAGGCTCCCCCGTCGTCTATATTTCGTCCCAGCTTGAGGTCGGTATCGAAATTCGCGCTCTGGAAGAACAGGTTCTTGAGCCCAGAGCTTTCATGTTCCAACTTCTGCAGTACAGCATCAAGAGATTGATCTTGTTGTATACCATAGAAGGAATCTGGATCATCAATGTTTTTGAATATGCGATGGAGAAGTTCGGTAGATTCTGGTGGTGCTACGGTAGACGACCGCCTAGATGCTCCAACTGCCTGTGAGTGACAGATTTCCAAAAACAACAACGATGTTTTATACATTTGACAGCGAGACGCTGCTGTTGCAGTCAACATAAAGTCAATATCAAGCCACCCATTTCTTTCGCCCATGGTGTTTTCTCGGGGTAAAGGCTGGCGTCGAAGGTAGAGAATACACGTTATTATCAAACGAATATGGGGTATAATTGAGTCATTGCCGTTTTGAAGGGTCTCTTTGAAGAGTTCAGAAACTTCAGTTTTAGTCTTCTGGTTACTGTCAATCTCAGATAACAATACGTCATGAAGGATATATGGAAGTAATTGTACTGCAAAGGAAGGAACTTCATAGATAATTTTTGGTAAAGCCCCAATAACTGCATCATTAGCCACTTTGTTGCATAGAAACAGTGCTAAATGTTGAGCAAACTCAGAAGCCGTATTTGTCGCGTCTCGTTGTGGTAAAGATAGAAAATGGGCCATTGCGGATGTTGAGAAGACAAGCATAGGGCATTGATATGGTTCCCATGTTAGAGCTTTCAGTAGGGTCGGGGGTATAATTTGTATGCATTCATCAATCTGAAGATCTCTGGTAATGTTATTCGAGATCATTTGCAGGGTTCTCTCCGCCAGCCCAGCCGGGCCACTGCTGTTGGACAATGAATCACATAATATACGTAGTATGGCAATTTTCGAGCCAGAGAGAAAACCATCACTTGAGCAGTCAAGGAATTCCGATTTCTGTTCTTTTCGAAAGGACGGATCCACCACTCCCGTAGCTGCATATGCACGGCCAAGTACCCGGGCTAGCCACAGACGAAATGATTTGCCTAGAGTTCGATTTTCGACGGAGGACCATAATGTCATTGCATGGGAGGCAGCAACGGCATCCTCACCCAAAACATCATCTCGGAAAGTGTCCGGCCTCTGGAAGCTACCACATAGTTGTGATAAGACGAGATTACTCGTGTGGGCTGTTAACAGGTTCCGCCCTGAGATTTTATCACCCAACAGCTCTAGAATAAGTTCACTTTCGTATGTCCCCTTAATACCATTCCCGACAAGTTGAATATTCTGGGATG